TAAATAAATAAAATAGAAATATTTTATTTAAAACTTTTATCTTCTTTAACCAAAATTATTCGCTAATAACAAAATCACACAATTGTTATCACCAATTAAAATACGTTCACCCAAATTTAATCGATGACACTTGTTCTAAATAAAATATAATTTATTCCAAAAAATGTAACTGAAATTGCAATTTAAAGATATATGATTAAACAAAAATAGCAAGAACATTTAAACTTCAAAGATCAGATTCTAAATAACTTCATCAATAAAGTTTGTTTATGATCAACTGACAACCCTAAATTTAATTTCTAGCATTATATAAAATTACATGCTTAATAAATTTGGCCAATAAAAATATTTTAATATTACGATAATTACAAAACTAGTAGGTGAATGCTGTATTTTCATGGTGGATGAAAATTTTTTTGATGTATAACTTAAAAAAAATCACAGTGCAAGATAAAAATTATAGAATGATTTCAATTAGTTTGTTAAATTTGTTTTTTAGGTTTTCACATGTGCACTTCTATACAAAACAGGCAGTTTTATTATGTACACAATGAAATAATATATATTCTTGATGATGGAGAGAGTCATTTTCAAAGCCTTGCAGCATTATAGTTCTATCAGGCAGTAATGATGGTGGTGGTGGTAATAATAATAATGGAGATATAAGTGCACAAATTTTAATCACACAAATAAAAAATTATGATTCTTTTGCTTTCACTTATCATTATTCATATATAGAAGAATCAGAATGGTGGATTTCTCACAGACAATAACATCACCATTTACAATGTCTTGCATTGTATACTTTAGCAATTGTTCCTCACAGTGTAAGCTGTGAACATTTATTCTCTGTGTTAAGCTGGTTCACTCAAAAACTGTAGGTATAGTAAGAATTTTTTTTTTCCAAAATATATATAATACATATAATTTTTTATAGACTTGATGTTGAAAAGGTTCCAATATGGCTAAATTACATTCCTTTTATTGTGACAAATGCAAACAATTACATTATCCAAGAAATATCAGAGGAACAATTGGTTGATGCTTTACATGATTATGGAGATAGGTTATTTTCTGGTGAGGGAATTTTTGATTTTGAAGATACTGACAATAATGACATAGTGATGGTGATAATATAATACTCAAACACTAGAAGATTATCTGGCAATTTTCTAAGATTCATGTATATCACAATAAAAGGGTGTAACAATGTCATATCAAGATAATTATTATTTAGTATATCAACAATACATTGATATTATTTTTAATAAAGATAAAACAATAATGGCAGTATATTATAAGTCAATATTGGTTGTATATTCATTAAAAAATAATATTATACAAATGTTCACTTTGCCTGATTTTGTTGCAGCATGACTCATATAAGGATTGGAAGGATTGAAATTCCACCAAAATTTTTAAACAGCATCTTTTAAATTATTATATGAATTTTCTGTCTGTAATGACTCTAAATTTGACCTTTTTTTTTTTTTTAAACAATTTTCAAGAAAATATCATTTTGAGGACTTGTATTGAATATGGGCCTTTTAAACCACTACTCATACTACACAAAATTAGCTCACAACTAAGAATCATAACAAATACAAGATATAAGATAAATAATAAATAATATAAATAAATAAAATAATAATAGAATATAAATGATATAAATTATGATACTGGGATAAGAGATTCAAAAGTTATCACTATTTTGATTTGTAGCCTAAAGTAGCATAACATGAAAAAAAATCATGTAAAGCCAGCCCATAATAAAATTATTTGACTATATGTATATGTATGTATATTGTACAGGGTTCTATAATGATCATTTGATAAAGATTTACATGAATAGAACAAGGAGTTAAAGTATATATACTAATCAACTACCATCATTTTATAAAACTTTTATTTAAAAATTTCCATATCTGAAATAGTATCATTGTCATCCAGGGAAGAGAATTTAGGATGAAATTGAGTTATCCATATTGGCAACTATTGGACTCTAATTCTGTGCTGATGCTGATGTTGATGTTGATTTTGATTTTGATGATGTGGTGGTAAAATTGGGCATTCTACTTAATTTTTGAGTAATTGAAGTTAAAGTAGAATCAGTTGTTGATGTTATATGCTTTGCAGCTAGTGCTGTAGGTTTATTTTGGCTTTTAATTGGATTTTTATTGTTAACTGGGGAATTATAATTTGCAACTGTAGATGTAGATTTAGCAACTGGAGCTGTAGTTGTGATTTTATTTGTAGGTGTAGTTGTAACCTTGGGTGTAATTATTATTTTGTTCTTAAATATGATTGATGATGATGTAACTGATGGTTTAGAAGATGAAGTTGTAGTGTATTGATTTGTAGTTTTAGTTGGAGGTCCAGATGTAGATGGCATAGCAGTTGAAGTTGAAATTGTGGATTGACTTGTGAATTTTGTTGAGGGTGTAAATTCGGATGAAGTTGAAGAAGAAATTTTGTAAAAAGTAGATGTAGATGATGATGTATTAGATGAAGAAGAAATATTGTAATATGGTGAAGAATTTTTTGTGCTCAGAATTGAAAAAGGATTGAAGTCTGCTGTATTATCATTATTGTTTAAATTTTCTTCAAGCTTTGCTTTTTTTGCAGCTGGTCTATCAGTTGTCTTAAAAGAAGATGGTTTTTTCCCTTTGTTAATTTTGGTCTTGATTGGTAAATCTTTGTCATTATCACAATTTTTTCTTTTATCAAGTTTTTTTTTAGTTAGTGAAATTTCATCATTATCATCACTATCACTGGTTATTGAATCATCTTTATTATTATTATTATTATTATTTTTATTATTATTATTATTATTATTATTATTATTATTGGTATCTCTTTCAATCAAAATTTCCTTTAATCTTTTTATTTGCTGGTTCCTTTTTATTTCATCTATTATATCATTAGTTGGCATTGATTGAGTGATTGTTGTAACACACCAGTCAGACCAATAGTACCTTCCAGCAATTTTATCCAAATCAAAAATATATTTTTTTTTGTGAAAATTAAATTTAATCCAATGTTTATGTTTGTCTTTATCTTTTATTGACATTAATAAATCTCCCTTAAATTTTATTAAATCTTTGTTGTCTTTATATATTTCAGTAATTTTTATGCATAAATCACTACCTCTTTTGTCATTGCCTATTCTAACCAAATCATTGATTTTTATACATTCATTACCCCAATATATTTGTTTATAATGATCATTTACTGTATTATTGTTATTGTTTTTTTTTATTTTTGAAGATAATGAATAGCTGTTAGACATTTCATATCCATGCCTCAAAGCCTTCATGAATTTACCAAAAAGAATTTTTCCTTCTGATTTTTGATAATAAAAATCTTTATTATGTAAACAAAGGCTTTTGATTTTTTTAATGTCTTCAGATAACCATGGTCTAATATTTTCTTTTCCAAGTTTTATTGTTTTAATATCAATTTCCAAAGGTTTTAATTCAATAATATTGTTATTAGCTCCATATTCAACAATTGCAGGCCACCCATCAATCAGATTATTATATTTTCTAAGAGCTTCTATTTGATTTTCACTTAATACACTTGATTTTTTCACCCAAACTATTTCCTTGGGTCTATAAATTAATAATCTTCGATTTTCTAACAATTCCTCATTAGATATTTGTACCCAATTATCAAAATTATTAATATAAGTAGTAAATATTAATTCTGAAAATGTTTCTGGAACAGATGAAAAATTAGATGTAGAAGGATCATCAATTTTTCTTTTGACTGGTTGGCCTTTAAAATCTATCAGATAATTTTGCACTTTTTGTTTTAATATACATTTTTTTTGATATAGTATTTGTTGTTCTAGTTGTTGATGTGGTGTGAGATTAGCATGATTATCTTTTTCACATCCATTTCTATCAATAATATCATTAATAGAATTTTCTGAAGATAAGTTTGTTTTAGTAGTTTTGGTAGTTGTCAAGCTTTTATTGGTAGGCTCCTGTTGGCTTTTAAAACAATATATACAGGCACAAGGAACACTTCCATCAGATGCTAGATATATAGCATGTGGTATAAATTCATTTGGTGATCTAAATCGATATTTCCCACCTGATCAATTAAAATATAATGATTTAGAATATATGATTCTTTCTTTAAAAAAAAAAATAATATAAATATATTTATATATTGTGTTACCAAAAAGATAATTATCACTCCTGTCATCCCTTTCTTTATATATTTTTATATGTTCAAATAATAAATAACCTGCTGGAAATTCTATTAATTTTGCTAAAAAAAAAAAATATTACAACTAATTATCAAATATGTAAAAAAATATATAAATGGGTTTTCTAGCAAAAAGTCAGGTATAATAAATTATTTTGAGTAATGATAACCCCTGCAAGGTATGTTACATGTTTTTGAGTACTAAATAATCAGGGTCTTATGATCAATCAGACTGGTTGCAAACCCTGTTTATAATTTAAGCCTATAAAATTTTTTTTATAATGATACATACATCCTATTATTTTATTCTTAAATTCCCCAAAAATTTTCAGCCATGTTTCTAAGCCTTTACCAATTTTTTCAAGCCACAATTTTTCCTTGCCTTCATTAGGTAATATAGGTCTATAATAAGCTATGGTTCCATTTTCATCTGTGATTGGAGTGGTACTTATACTGTGATTTGGTGGACCATCACTTACAAGTAGTTTTAAACCTTTTGGAGAAATTTGTATTTTTGATTTGTCATATTTATATTCCATAAATGTTTTTTTTAAAGCTGAAAATTAATTTAAATTTATCAAGTTTGTATTAAGTTATTAATTTTGGGAATAAATAATTAAACAGAAAGTTATAAGATATATATATATGTATGTGGATAATAAAAATGTGAAAAATTTCAAAGCAGGAAGAATTTGAACTCTATTTAAACGTTTTTATTAATTAATGAATTGATTTTGTTATACAAAACGATTGCTAAACCAAAACCAGGTTGTTGGTGTTACACGATTAAAATCATCCAATCAAATTGGTATTTTATGCGGATACATTCTAAATTTGTACTGATGACGCATTGACACAAAAGGATCATGTGGGCCAAATAGAAGTTCTTGGTAGAATTTTGGAATTCCTTGTTTTCTAAAAATAGATTAAATTAGCCAGGTGTAACAAAGTAACTTACCAAAATTAAAAGTTACGATTTATGGAATCATCAAAACTTCCTAATTTGGATTTGAATGGAAGCTAATTTGTGATATCTTCTGTGATGGATTGGTGCAATGCTAAAGAACATCCCACCAGTGTCCAAAGGGCATGTATTACGTTACATGTTAGTATTAGTATAGATAATTTCCGAGTTTATACTAATTTGCAGTGAAATCTTGGATAACGTTGGAACTTTTGTTGTAAATTATAAAGAATCATGAATGTCTAGCATAATTACCCTCTTAATAACTGATCATTTCCAAATCCAAAATAAACAAAGTCTAGAAATACATGGTTAAGAGTTGATATAAGAGCTACCCGCTCCCCTTGTAACCTTCATAGTCCAAGAGTCATTCTTGCATTAGACCAAAATGAGATTTCCAATAATACCTCTATCACCATCAACATTTGATAACCCAATGATTATAAAGACAATTATAAGATAAACGCCTCGGAGTAAGCACAGTTCAAACATTTATACATGTGATCCTATTCATCACAACTCCAGAGTAAGCATGGTCCTAGCTTCAGATTATAGAACAAGAAGGACGTCATAATGTGCTATCCACCATACGCCAAGCCCAATTACCTGACTAGTAGCTTTTACAAACTGTGTGGTGTAACTTCAGATACATATAACTTGGTGAACTTATTGAAATGTCTCGCCTTGTTTTGTAACATTCGATGTTCATATCGTATGAATTTCATTTTCAAAATCGTTTCCCTTAGTAATAGAACTGTTCATTATTATTTTTTAAAAGTACTTGTAAATTTTCTTTCTGCCTGTAATCAACATAAAACAGCATGTCCTATAACTTTTCAAACGAAAAATAATCAGATTATAGATATAATATTTGATTAGTGTAAATTTTGTGTTAAGAATTCATTATATTGAAAGGATTTAATATAAATTTTTTTTTTTATAAATTAAGTGTTGCTGTTGTACCATCAGCATCCACGGCAAGCTCTTCTTCTCAAATGAACTCCCAATTTTTTAAATCTGCAACTAACTTATTCTAAAAACAGAATATTTGAATTTACTATTTAGAATTCTAGTAAGTAATCAAAATATATTTTGTAAGTTACCTTTTCTTCATTATCGGTAATTTTAATCAAAACTTCATAGAAATATTCATTGCAAATGCTGCACAAACCTCCGAGATCATTTGATATATATATATATATATATATATATGGTCCACATGTCAAGTGTGCCATAAACAATGTTCGTTTGATTCCATCAAGATATGCTATCTCGAGTTTTTTCCAAAGAGTTTCTTTATTATTATCTTTGCTTGCAGAAAATGCCTCAAATTCCTGATTTGTTATTATTACGTTAGTAGCCAACGTATTGCATCATGCCTCTAATGTTCACTAATTTGATAATCTTTGGGATATATGGGGGCGAGATATGAGATAAATTATGACTGTTGTTTTTTCGTTGCATCCATTTGATAAAAAATTGGGACCAGCTTATATCAGCTATGTGTCATCATTTTTATATTATCCCAGTCACCTAATTGTTATTTTGAATTCACTGTATAAGAAGCTAGTCACATAAACCAAATAATTCTTTGCCAACAAAATTTTTTCAAGATGGGTAACTTCTTCCAAGAATTTCCGGTAAAAGTAACCCTTTTTATTTGGCACTTGTTCATAAAGTGCTGATTGGCATATTTTAAATAAAAAGAAGACTTATAACCAGAACCTGCAAAGTTCGAGTCTTCTTGGTTTGAACTACCAATCGATGTTACAAAAACTGCAAAATTGTTAGTAACAATTTTAAAAACTTTACTTGTTATTATTTCATCGTCAAAGCCCAAAACACTTGGTCCAGAATAATATGTCTTCGCTTTAAAAGATTTCTAGTAAGTAAGTTTCATTTGCTACTTCATTCGGAGACGAGTGAATTTCTGTACCCTCATTTGCTTCACGTACATAACCAGGTTTTGAATTGTCCGTTTTTGTATTGTAGATTTGCAAATTCGAATTCTCTTTGGTTTAATTTTAATTCATTTCTCATTAATTCTTAAGGAAAACACATTTGTTAATTTTTGTATCTAAAAAAGTCATCAATTTACAGCAAAAGGACCATAGTGCAAGTTTCTTTCGATTTCGCCAGGTACTAAAAGTTGTCTTTTATTTTTATTTGCATAAAAAAATAAAATAAAATAAAAATTAGTTGCCTTTTTGGTGTAAAAAAACCATTTTTTGGTAGTACAGCTAGAGTCACTTGATTCCCGACCAATTGATTTCATGAAGCTTATCACGTGGATACACAGAACTCGAGTTCAGAAAATGAATATTTTAGGAGCCTTTATCTTTGATTATAAAATTTCCATAGTTGATGAAACAAACATTTAATTGGAAATCGTATTTCGTTTTAAATATATATCATACACAATGAATGTTTTTACATAGTATTAGGACTTAATATTAATTAATGTCACTATATTTATTATTATTATAAATCTAAAAAAAATAATCATAATACAGCCGAACGAATCTATGAAACGCAATAATTTGGAATAACGAATCTCTTATGTGTATCAACTATATATGCAGCATAAATTGCTTTGCTAATGTCAAAAGTCAAAAGTAATTACGATTAAAAACGCGTGTAACATTGAAATAGTCTCGCTCAAGTTAATATTTTAGAAATTCGTTTAAACAAGGCTTTGCTGTAAAAATTTATCATTAATACCAAGTTTACAATGCAAAAATCCATTGATTTATTATTGTCATAGTATCTCAACCATGCAAATATTTTTATTTGAAGTTTCGATGGATGGTTTATAATAGCATTATTAGTTATGGCAAGCATCATCGCATTTCTATACAAAATTTCCATTTCTACCATCAACGTTGCTATATTCTTCACGGGTAACAGAATCGATCTTAAAATAATTTAATATTGACATTTTTGTTACTGGTGTATTGAATCCAACCGTTAAGACGAGGCCATATTAAATTTTTAGATCAGTAAATATTTATTAAGACCATACAATAGATATAATGTGGTTTTGCTATATACAATGACAACACCATTTTTTCTATTCCTTCTATTGCCTGTAAATTAAAATATGGCATCTCGCGGAACTCACAGTCAAAAGAAATAACAAAACATTAATTCCCAAGTAAAGGAAACTGGAGAAAGAATAAAGCCTGGCCTACGTTTTTATTGCTGATATTCAGAAGGTTCTTTCTTAATAATATGATAAATCATATGATCACGATTATAAAAATGGGACTCAAAATCCAATTTTCCAAATTCTAATAGCAAAGTAAAGAGAGACTTATTCAAATAAAAAACAAACCTCGTCTTATAACAAGAGAAACTCATTCCATAATAGCTAATACTCATTTTGTAGCCAATTTTACTTAATCAATTGATTCAATTGTTAGTACACGGCTGATAAATTCATTAATATTATTTTTTCTTTCGATTGTTGGTATTCTTTATATCAATTTTTGTAGCATTGGTTGGTGCCTGAAGTTTTTAAGTCTATGTCTCCTTTAGGGATTAATTTTACAAATCGTGATGTGTCCCTGAAATACAAGCGTAACACATATTGAGATCCAATTTTGTTAAAAAAAACCAATTTCAAAAAACATCACCATTTGTTCTACTAGCAGTTAAAGTTGATGACTTTTTGAAAAGGTAAAGAATTAACAGTTAGCACCGATAAAAAAGGTATAATTATTTCAAAAAATGAAGAATGATATTTCAACCATCAAAGTCACATGTTCACTCAAATCAAAAGTAACAATGTTTGTTATTTGAATTTTTTGTAAATTAATTAAAGATGTCAATAAGAAATTTATAACAGATCAATTAAAGGTGTATTTGAGTCGAGTTGGGGTTGTAATTTATACCAACTCAAACAATCAACTCACACTCACAAAATAAACATTTTTTTGTAATTCTTTCAAGTGAAGTATTTTTGAGAGTATCATGTTATTTTTATATAAAAATATACTCTGGTACCGGTTCCCCGGATTATATAAAAGGGCTAATAGAAATATCCATAGATCTAGGAAATAAAAAACATAATTGCGATATTCTTCATATATAATAATAATTGGGGTTAAAGCATAAGTTAGGCAATGCTGGATTGTTTTAAAGAGAGATCGGTTCTTTGTTTAGATTTTGTTAACAACCATAATCAGAATTATCAGGATATAAAGCCTTGCGAATACTAGTTCAAGTGTTTATGCATGTTCTTCTTTATTTATTTAACAACTTCGGCTCAAAAATGTTCTCTTGCTCAGAGTACCCGTCTTACCTAAGGGAATGTCGATGGTAAAGTAAATTTTTCTTTAACTTTGCTAAAATACACCCTTGCAATAATTCATCCATGTTAAGTGATAATTTGCTTTCGATGATCATTGAATTGATCTCTGATCAAATTTAAATTGTAGAGGTTGGAACTGGCTAAAAAAAAAGCCTTAACCAGTTAATAACCAGTTAATAACCTGTTAATGGACTGATTCATATGATATGATTTTTTCAATTTTAATACGAATTACATTCAAGTGTCCACACATATTCAGGAACAATTTTTTGTGTTTCACAAATTCCTGCAAAGGGTTAGTTGCATATTATATCTTGTTTTGAATAATATTTACATATTTGTTTACATATATATTGATATAGGGATTAAGAGTTTTGGCTGAAATATAAAATGAATGAATTGCCAATTTTATCTAGCTTGTATATAAAGTTGAAAGGAATTAGGAATTTTCAGTTCCAAAATTCTTTTTAAAAATATTAACTATTAATTCAAATTAATTAACCACTACTTTTTTATGTTCATCTTTTTTATTTTTATGCTTATGTGTTATAAGGTAATAAATATTAAAATAAAATTACCAATTCATTTTCTATCATGATAATAAAAGATTACATCCAACTTTTGCAAAAACGAGATCACATAAAATCACAAAATCCAGGTTTGAGCACAAAAATATTTTACCTTATCTCACAGAAAAAAGCCATCGTCCCTGGACGTATTATACATTATACATTTAAAAGTATTCTCACACAGAGTTGGCTTATTGACAATTAATGCATGATTTAAAAAATGAAGAATTTTAGAAATCGAGGATATTACTGGTTTTGCGCGGTTTTTCAAAATAAAAAGAAGTTAGATTCAATTCATTATTTTCCCTAATATAGTTATTTAAATTAAAGGTGATTTACATTGTTACCTATTTTATACGTCTGTAACGATAACAATGAGCTCTTCGATTTAAAATTTGTAATTGTTAAATAAAACCTTGCCTCTTATATTTTTTTCTTTCGCAATGTTTTCCCAGTGCCAGAATTAATATTAGAAACTTTATTACGGTCGAATGAGAAAATTTGGCTAAAATTGTATTATTATTATTATTTATATTATTATTATTATTATTATTATTGTTATTATTATTGTTATTATTATTATTGTTATTGCATACATTGCATGAACATATCATGTGGTTTATGACAATTTTGATCAAATGTGTCAAAAAAAATTTTTTTTAAGAACAAAATGTATACTGGTTTTTTAATATAATCTAGTTTCCATTTCCATTAGAACTTATTACTGGATGATTAATACTCTGGTCATCTTCAATGATGTAATCTTTCAAAGCTTTAAACATTGGAATAAAGGATGTATTGTGGAATTAACTACTGCTGTACTGTATATGCTTGAAGATATGATTGGTGTTCCAATACTATTATTAATTATTTTGAATTGACAATACAATTAAAAAAAATGTAATTTTTTTTTATTTCATTTATAGTAGAAAGAAAATTTAGAAATCACGGAATATGTAATGTACAGATTAATATAATAAATAATAATAATAATAATAAAAGGTTTAAAGTATCAAGTTTTTGATAATGAAGTAGTATTATGACCCGTTACAACCTGTTAATTCGTTAATTATGGACAATATTATTGTTATTATTATAGCATTTTACAAAATAATATTTCATCATCATCGCAGTTCCTGGTACATCGTGCGTTCGTACATATGTACGTGCATATATACGATATCTAAAATTTCCTTGTACAGGTTGTACGACTACAACGAACTCAATTGTACGAAGATTCTTCATTATAGATGCAAAATTTATATTTGTAACTCGAATAGGAATAACACTTTCCTTGGTGTCCTTAGTGCCTCACCGAAAGTTTTGTCGCCAAGTCGGACACAGCAATCAATTGTTTTGTAATTGATAAAATTTGGAGTTGTATAATTATTATGGCAAAATCATTTATGAAATCAAATTCTCATGCTGCGAAACATTATTATCATTTTTTAAATATAAATATTATTATTGTTATTATTATTATTATTCACCCTATCCAATACAATTCATTACAAACGATTAGAAATATTTTTTATTTGAAATTACGATTTACTTCATTCTTATTGGCCTTTTGACAACAGTTTCATACTTTATGTTCTATGGCTAGGGCCTCTATAATCACACACAACCTTCCTAAAAAATATAGTGATAGAATACAAGAATTAGTGTCCCAATTTAAAAAAACTCCTTTAGAGGTCATTAAGGTGGTTGGTCATACATCAAAATATTTTGATTTTTGATATGTGAATGAATATTCATGATTTTTCAGAACTTTTTATTTATTTTTCGGAAAATCTTTTTTTTTTGGATTATTAATTATTATGTAAGATCCAAAAATTTGGCGCCAGTAAACTATAAAGGTCCCGCACCATTAATTACTATAAATGGTCAAAAAACGGATATTTTTCAGCCACCATTTTTTTAAAGCCATTTTTAAAAAAAGAATTTTTGCTTTGGGAACAATACGTAATGCCATTTTGGATGTTACACGATCGTTTTTTTTTTAATTTAAATGACGATATCGATGCCAGGGATATTGCATAATCCGGAGTTCGACAAATTCCAGCAGAATCTAATTCACTTTATGTGGTTATTTGTCCATGTATGTATTTAATGTATGCTCCCTCCAAAACATTGAAGCATGTGTTAATTAGAAAAAAAAAAAAAAGATGCTACGAAGATTAAAATTTCTATTTAAGTTTGTTTATTTCTATTATTAGGCCAATAAGAAAGATGTAATATAAAACAACTTAAAATAAAAGATTGGTTGTCCGTGTAACAGCTATATTTCATTGTCAAGTTAATTCCATTAATATATAAATTAAGTAATATTTAATGAAATTTTCATCATTGCTGCCGATATCATCGTCACTTTTTTTTTTTTGTGAAAATAAATATAAATAAACTGTATATAAATGACAGACAATTAGTTGTTGAAAAAAAAAACATCAAACTTCTTCTGAAATGGGAAACAAAATATCTTTAAAAATTCCCAATAATAATAATAATCGCGATAATCACGACAACATTAATTATAACAAGGAAAATAATATATACAACAAAAACAACAGCAATAATAGCAATAATAGCAATAATAGAAATAATAGAAATTATTATCATGAAAATGAAAACTCTATCGTTGATTCAATTGAATATAGTAGGGATTCTGTTGACACTTTGATTTGGTCAAATTCTACTTATTCGCGATCGTCGAAAGAATTATTTCGATACAGTGATGTTCCCCCCACACCGACTAGTTCTTCTTTCAATAATGATAATAATAATAAAATAGACAATTATAATAATATAAATATAAATAACAATTATAATAACATAATTTGTAATAATATAACAAATACACAAATTGTAGATGAACCTGAAGAAATTATCGATAATATCGATTATGATATTATAAGCGATCCTAATTCATTATTTAATTCGGAAAAATTGTATTCATTATCAGAATCTCAAATAGTTTCTTTGCTGAAAAGAGACGATGTCGGTCTACACGAGATTATAATTTGGATAAATTTATTGAATTGGGGTATAAAAAATACGCCAGAGCTAGTAGAATTAGAAGAAAATACGTCAAGAAAATGGACAGAAAAAGATTTCGAGAAATTAAAAGAGAAATTAAAAAATTGCATTGAATGGATAAGATTTTTTCAATTAAGTCCACAAGAGTTTGCAGAGTTCGTGTTGCCATTCAGTCAAATTCTACCAAAAGAAATTATAAATAATTTTCTGAGACTTCAAATAACGGGTCATCTACCAATTTTTCCTTCTTCGTCTTCTTCATCTTCTTCTTTTACTTCTACTTCAACTGTGTCTTTTTTACCGCCTCCACAAAGGATCCCTTCTACCTACATAAATTCAACAATATTGACCGGTAGACATGCAACTATTTTATCTAGCTGGATGATTAATGAAGAAACTTCAACTGCCAATTTCAACTTATTATTCAAAGCAAGTGAAGAAGATTTGAATTTAAATAATTTTTATGCAAAATGTTGCAACAAAGGCCCAATACTTTTAATTATAAAATTTTATGATTCGGATTACATTGCTGGTGGCTATATTCCATTAAACTATCGTCGTAACGACAATAAAAGAAGATCGTCTACGAAAAATTTATTTTCAAAAAAGACAGGATCTAAAAATTCTCTATATGAAAAAAGTTTCATCTTTTCGTTCATAGATAAATATCGTCCGGAAGACACGGCTGTAATTAGCAGAGTTTTACCACAGTTTGCAAATGATGCTGTTTTCGAGCATCCAGCCGGCGGACCTTGTTTTGGCACAGGTCCTGATTTATGGATTAATATTGATTCCAAGGAAAAATTTGGTCATAATGTTCCTTCTTCTTATGAACATGACATCTTAGATTATCATGACAACGTAAGAGGATGTTTTGAATGGGAAGACTTTGAAATATTTCAAATCGTGCAAAATTAAAAAAGAATCAATAAATTTATATTATAGTAAATAATAATAATAATAATAATAGAGTTATCAATGTTTGTTGTTATAAAAGTGTCACACACATTAGATAATGTATTCGGATCATTATAATACGAATTTTAATATAATATAATATTTTTGACGAATACAATTATTAAAAATTAAAAAATTAATGGAATTTTTTAAAAAATCACTGCTTCTATTAGTGTACAAGTAAGTGGAGATGACATTTTGTATTATTTTTATTGATGGTTTAAGATTTGGGATTTTTGTTTGGATAACCATATTATTCATATTGTTGATATTATTGACAGTTAAAATATTTTTCGGGCCTGAATGGTGTTGGTTGGTGCTTGATATCTGGAATTGATTTTTTGAAGATTGTAAATATATTTATAGTTTGTAGTTGTAATGGTTTTTTCTATCCTCTTGATTAATTTATCAACTCTATCAGTACCATTATTATCATCGTCATTATTATAATTGTTTCGAACATTAGTCAGTCATAGTTGGTAATCTTTAGAAAATTATGTTGTATGCTTTGTAAATAGTTGCTATATTAAGATAACTCGATATTGTTGATATTGTTTTATTGTATATATATATATGTGTGTATAAAATAATTTTTTAAGTCGTATTATTACCAAAATCAACAATATATTTGTTTGTTGTTTGTTAGATAAGGGAATCAATTAATTTATTTTTAATTGATAAGAAGCTATAAAAGGAAAGACAATCAATGTATGATGTATATATTATTAATTAAAATGTAAAAAATGTAAATAATTCTGTCACATCACAATTCCATAAAAATTTTTATAGGTGTTTTTTATTTTGTGCGACTATGCAAATATAAATATGAATAAATAAAGTATTATTCATCATACATACTTTTATATTTCCGCCTTTTCTAAATGTTGGATAGATCTTCTGCATCAAAGTCTAATAAAATTCTTGGTTTAGGTGGTGATTCCTTTGAAAAAAACAGAATGGTTGATAGATCTTCAAAAACTAGTAAAATATTTGGATTAAATGACTCCTTCGAGAGATCTATAGATAGATCTTCAAAAGCTAGTAAGATACTTGGTCTAAATGAGTTTACTATTGATGAAACTGCAATTTTAGATAGGTCTTCAAAGGCTAGTAAAATACTTGGGCTGAATGAAACGATCGATGAGTCCGCAGCGCTGGGTAGGTCTTCAAAAGCCAGCAAAATACTTGGATTGAATGATATTAGTATTGATGAATCTTCAACGCTAGACAGGTCGTCGAAAGCTAGTAAAATACTTGGATTGAGTGATGGTGGCAATGATGCAAATAATAACAATAAAAAATCTACATCTTTGGATAAGGTTAAATCGGAATTTCGATATAATAATAATAATAATCGTAATAATGGTGGGTCAATTATTGTTGCCAGCATTCGTAAAAATATTGGATACAGTGGTTATTTGGCAAAACATACAAACACAAGTTTTGCGTTGACAAAATCATGGAAAAAAAAATATTTTATTTTGGCGAAAAACATCTTGTATTGTTTTAAATCGTCTGATTCAAATTCTGTTCTAATAGAGAGTTTTGAATTGACCGCGGACACTATAGTGTGTGTTAGTGATATTTTTACTGGTAGATCGTGGATATTAGAAGTTAGCAAACCAAGTATAAAACCTTGGTATTTACAAGCTGATAATGTAAATGATATGAAATTTTGGTTGACTGAATTAAAATCAACAGTTGTTCAACTTAAATACAGTGCAACAGAATTGCCTGATATTCCAAACGTTCCAAATAATAATAATGATAAAAATGTTAATAATATTAATAGCATGAAAAATAATAACAATGGCAATGGCAGTCATAGACAATATGAAACAATTGAAGATTTGGTTTCGCCAGTATCAACAACATCATCTGAAATGAGTTATTTTAATAGACCTTTATCTCCTCCATCCAGGCCAATTCAATACTCGTCATCATCACCATTATCGCCTCCTTTGCCACCACTTCCACCAAATCAACCCTCCAACACTGCTAACCCGTTATCACCACAACTTAAAAATGTACAAGAAAAAAGAATATTAGACATTACGGAAAACTTTGAAGAACATATTATTAAACGACCTTTACCACCTGTCGCATTATCACTGCCAAGAACAAGATTTGGTCAGCCATTAATTTCAGATTATGGTGGTAATAATGTTAACAATAATAATAATAATAACAACAACAACAATAATACAATGCCGTCTGCTAATACTACCACCACCACCGCCACCACTTCTTCACCACTTCTTCCTCCTCCTTCTACGTCAAATCAAAGACGAAGATCAAATTCTTTCAATGTTCTGTCTATTAATGCGGATAAACAACGACATACACCATCGCCTATAGGTTCAATTGATAGTCATCACTCACTTGATTCAGATCATAAAGGAAATAGAAACACTATTAGGCAGAGTATACCAATTATAATGCCATCATGGTCAATCAAATCAACGTCATCATCGACATTATCTTCTATAGCGACTTCTTCAACGACCTCTTCAACGACTTCTTCAACGACTTCTTCAACTAATAGTCCCACTACTACTGCCAATACAGGTGCTATACCAATCAATCACAACAATCGTCATAATAATAATAATAATAATAATTATGAAACAATATCAAATCCTTATAATATAACTCCACTTTCCCCACCCCCTCGTGCGCAAAAATTTACTAGACCAACGCTACCTGCGAAATCAGAAAGACGTAATAATTCATATAGTTGTGATAGTTATGTACAAAATGGTAATTATGATTATGGCTATGATGATAATAATAACAATAATCCAATAACAACGACGGCAGCATCAACTACTACAACAAAGTTGCCATCATCATCATTAAATAATAAATTTTATTACGCTGATCAAATTGGCTCTCAATCCAGTGCTAACGGTAGTAGTTCGCCTTTTACAGCTATTCCAAAACGTAGAACAAGCAAACATAACACGCATTCATATTCATTGTCGTCACCCTTATCACAAAGTTTTCCAACGAGAATTTCAACTTTTGATGAAATAATAAGAAACAAAATGAATTCAACAACATCACCAATATCACCTTCTTCAACATTGCTACCATCGCCGCCATCATCGCCACCGCGTAATCTATTTTATCAATCATCTATTATGGACACTGCGCTGAGACAATATTCTCAACCACTACCATCAACATCAAATGCCGCTAAATCTTTTGCTTATTCTTCCAACTCGCCAAGTTCTGCTACCATTAAAAGACCTCCATCAAACAGACAACAATCATTGCCTTCAATTGATATTACTGCTTTACCACCACCTACACGTCCACCGAATGATCCATTGCCACCTGTTCCAGGTTTTTCACCACCACCACAACCATCATCGCAATTACAATCATTATTTAAATTGCAACCGCAACCTCAATCGCCACCACAACCTCAATCGCCACCACAATTGAAATCTCATTTACAACCGCCACCACAACAGACTCCCCCTAGGCAAATAAAAGATAAACCAATGAATTCAGGAAACCCATTTATTGGAGAATATTCGGATGATGATAATATTGATCCAGATTATGAGGAGGAATTGGTCGCATCACGTAGAAAATTAGACGATCAAGCAGATGATGAAAATTATTCCAGCATTGAAGTATTTTATGATCGTAAAACAGATAGCAACTATAATAGTAATAATAATGAAGTGTCGGCTTCTGGGTTGACTTTTGTTATGGTTGAGGAAACAAATGGTGATGGAGAGATAATATTAGATCTTCAGGATGTAAGCGAGCTAAAAAGTAGAGAGATGATGGCAACAATGAGTATTACAGGAAAAAAAAAGAAAATTACTTGTGACATTGATGGCAATGATAAATATAAAGAAGAAAAAGAAGATAATAAATTTATTGAAAGAGTTATTAAAGATGATTTTAATATTAATTCAGAAAAAGTGGATAATAGTCGTACTACAAGATCATCAATATGATTGACAAATTAATTTGTATAAAAAAATAAAATATATAGATAGATTTATTTATGTGTAGTAATAATATGTAATTTATTTATTTTATTCAATTATTATTTATTGGTTTTTTCAAAAAATTTTTTTAAAATAATTTATATATATAATATACAATACAAAACTTTCATATATATATGTATATATAATATACGAATATAAATACAAATCATTCATGGTATATAAATAAAGAACTATTAATGATAATTTTATTTAAAAGTAATAAAAATAAAAATTTCAAAGAACCGTTGGTGATGTTGATGTTTTATCACTTTCTTTTAATTTTTTACTTTCCTCTTCTAATTTTTTTAATTTTCTTTCTTTTCCTCCCATACTAAATCATTCACATAAAAAAATCAATTATATTATACATATAAAAGTTTGGAATTTAGAATTTTTTTATATTTAACACATACTGGTAATAATCAAGATATCTATATCCTTGTACAAATTGTAATGCTTCATTTGTCATATGACATGCTAAAAGTAAATGATTACGAGGTATTACTTGCCATGCAAATCTCATAAAAGTTGCTGAATATATTAACATTGCTACATTTACAGACAGTTATATATAAAATTATCAGTGATAAATCTTTTTGAAAGAAATATAATTACTATTTACTATTAGTTACCAACAGTCATTTTAGGTGATATAATATCCGGATCTTTTTTGATATCAGCAATTGCAGCTAAAGGTAAACCCCAATTAGCAACTAAAAAAGAACAGCAACAAAATAAGTTAAACTTTTCCTTCAAATAATATTTTAAAAATCAATATGTTATTAAGCTTACCAGGGCCCCAAAAATGCTTTTAATCAAATAATCAAAGAAAAGAGTATATATATATATTATCATTATAATAAAAACAATTTTTTAGTACATATTATCAAAATGAAATATTATATTTATATATATATATATATAATAGTGTTATCTACCGTACTTTTAAACAAAAAAAGAATTCAATTAATAAAATTACTAGAATAAATTGCATATTTCCAATTCTTTCAAAAAAATAATAAATTTATCTACCTCATAAAATATTCCCGTAATTTTGGATTTTGAAGTTTTGAAATTAAAGTAGTTGTCATTTTTTTTTTTTTTTTTTTTTTCAAGGAGGAAAATTTATTTATTATATTGATCAGTAATTTATGAATGTCGATCACTTCGTCATAGAAAGTTTTTCAGTCAGTCACACGCACAAGTTAGAATGTTTATAAATTATATGAAGGCATGAACCACATTCAAACATTTGACAATTTATTAGCGTTGTCATTAATCGATAAAATGGATCTTTAGAATTGGGCTTATGATCTGTGTAGTCTGTATGTCTATATGTATTAGTAGTAACAAGCATTTGCAATGTGTATGTTTAAATGTTGGATGCTATTTTTTTTTATTGTTAAATTGAAATATTAATACATTATTTCACTTTTTATTGTAGAATATTGCATTTGATGTTAGATATAATAATAAGTATAACAGGACCTCAATTGAACCGGTAATGGTGAAAATGGGGTAGTGATCTTGTAAAAACACCAGTAATTATAATAGTAACAGTAAAATCTTCAAGCATTTGCATATTCGGGTAGAAGTTGCTATTACAACTTCTTATATATCTTATATACCAGTTTCAATCACAATAATAAAGGAAATCAAATAATAAAACCTAACATAATAGTAGAGATTTTTGTCAACCATTAATTAAAGAAACATAAACTGTTATAACTTATCATACAGATGGGAATTTTTAATTCTGAAAAATGATTTGCAGAACATGTTTCTACAATGTAACATGACAAATTTTTTACATAAAAACATATATTAAATTTTTTCCTATATTAAGTTTTAAAGGTCATTAGTACAGAGGAAATTTTTTTGCAACGACTGAGGTTTCTATTATAGAGAGGATCTGCTTTGTAGTAAAAAAATGCTTCTTTTAAAAAGAGGGGAATCTTTGACACCAAAATCATTGATTATGCTAGCTATACTGTAAAATTTGGTTGTTCTTACCCACTTTAGCACTTGCTAAGGTTGTGGGCGAAACTCCTTCAGAAATCAATTGACAGAGTTTCGATAGGTTACACATTAATTGTTTGTTAGAGTTTCGGCAAGATTTCGCATTTGGGAGTTTTGTCAATCGTCTGAGTTTTGACAAGGTACATACTAATTGTTCATTAGAATTTTGACAGAGTTTTGACAGTCACTAAGAAGTTTCGGCAAGCAATATTAGCACTTGCTTTACCACTTACATAGAATAAAAGGCAACACTATCATATTATTTTCAAAATACTCTTGTTTGTAGATAACAGGATGCCAAGTATTCTGACAAAGTTTTATAACTTTTGAAATGGATCTAGGTTGATAAAGGAAAGTTTTTCTCCATGCATGTAGTTGTTCACTTATTGTTTATTGATCAACAAACAAATGACATAAAAAATTTGAGTAAATAAATATTTTTTTTCATAATGAGTTATTTTTATTTGCTTTAATTATTTTTGTTTCTAATTTGAAAATAAACTATTAGAAAATAGCAGATAATAACATTAAATTACTTAAACACACATTAAACTTCTCACCAATTTTTTATTCCTAGTAAAAATTCCTATAAAAAAAGAAAGAATAGTTTTGAATGCAAAACATTAATTAAATAATTAAATAACATTTATACATTCAAACATAAATGTTATCTTTTTTTAAATCCATATTTCTTCCGTTCATAAAACAAATCTGTTTTAGAAGATCCTAGATTCACAATCTTTGGACATCCATCTCTCTATAAAAACAACAATAATTAAAATCAAATAAACCAATAAAATTAATTAATTGGTATACACATACATCCTTTTCTTGCAATACACATTCTTTACAATAATATGCATCAGATACTCCGGGAGCACCACAAATCACACAACGACCTTGATACGAACCATAATTACATTCATCACATATTCTAAAAATTTTATTTTAAGATATAAATATATATTAACCATGAAGGTTCAAATGAATTATAAAAGTAAATAGAGAAAGGGTACTCACCGAACAAGTGTATCAGGTCTCACATATCTATTATTACATTAAAAAAAAACATATAAATAATAATATTACTATTTGAAATAAACTTTTGTTTGTAAATACTTGCGAATCACAAATCACACATTTTCCATCACACTTTTCACAAAGACGCCCAATAGCTTTGGAATAATAATAATGTTGTTAATATTAATATTATATAAAAAAATTTTTTTGAAGAGAATAAATTATAAAGTTGACTCACCAATACCAGGTTGTTTTCTACACATTATAAGATCTGGATGATGCTTTGCCATGATTCAAGAATAATTTATCAACAGAGAATGAAAAATTTGAAAAAATTGTGTTACAAATAAATTTATTAGGAACCTACAATCGGTACGACGTGTAAGAAAAAATTTTACTTAACAAAAAACTTCTTCGAAAATGGAATAAAAATACCATGCAAGCTTTTCAAACTTACTGAGATCTTAATTTACAAATTGTGAAAACTTTCTTTTTATTTTTTCCTTAAATTAGTAAGTTTTGTCAATTACTAGTATATTAGCTATTTATATCTATTAAAAAATGCCGATTGTATTGTAGGTTTAGGAGGCAAGAAGAATTAATTGTTTTTTCCTTTTATATATTTTTGTTTTAATTATTTTACAAAAAATAATAATAAATAACACCTGAATCTTTGGCAAAGATTAGTATGTTGACTAAGTGACAATTCATCATTGATTTATCATGACATTGCTCTACGGTGAATGAACAGTTAAAAGTTCTATTCTATCAAACTAATTTGTGATAATCAAATTATTAATTTGCCAACTATATTTTTTACATTGTAACTCTTACTTAATGAATCAATATATATATCCACTAAATATTTATTAATCCTCCAATCTTCAATATTTTCAGGATTATGGATTGATATATTATTTTATATTCCTGGTATAGGAGAACTATTCTATATAGTTTTAGCAACACATTTTGTGCAGATGATAGAATTGTTGTATTTGGATTTCTGTAACTGTGTATTGAATGGTAATCATCAATGTTGAAACAAAATAATTTACGTTTATTTTCTTCTGCTATTTTTCTTCACTGTTTTACAGGATACTGGAATACCAAGTCTTGACATTATATCAATAGCTTCAGAAGTTGTACCACATGAATATAAGTAAAGTCCAATTTCTAATTGAAGAGAATTATTAAGTTGATTTCCTAGACCAGATAATAAGTAACAGAACCCAACAAGAGATTGTGTAATGATTGAAGTTTTTTGTGAGAAGTAAAGGTTGGACATATGGAGTTAATTAGAGATGATGGAATTGATCAAGATGCGAGCATTACAGGTGGAGTATGGTTGAAGTTATATTGGAATAAAAGGTTGTAATAGTTGTTTAGTTCGTGTGACTTTGGAAGATATGTACCAATTTGAGATTTCAGAGATTATTGATTGTTGGCCATGGAATTGTATCCAAATTAGAGTTAGCTTGGCAGGAAAATAGATGAGTAGTATTTTCAGGTGATTTATTACAGTAGAGACAATTAAGATTGGATAGTTGTGCATTAAGTTTTTTATTGGTATGGAGAATTTCAAGTTTGTATGAGAATAATGAGCCATGGTAAAAGTAAGAATTATTTTCAGTGAACATTGAATAATGGGAGAACTTTAAACAAAATTCTGTATATGACCAATTGATAGGTGTGTTTGATGGAATTTGTTTTAACAAGATAGTTTGTGTTTTCCATTTAAGATTATTTAATAAATATTGTATCATGCTTTTTAAGCTTTTAGATCTGATAATCTCATCACCTAAGATTCTACTTGTATGGTATGTGTCGGGATATCACTTGTGTATTTTGTTGTGTGAATTACTACCACCATCATCATCATTATTAATATTACTAACCACAAACATGGTTTTAATAATAATAATAAGTAAAGGAAAAGAAAAACTTATATTCAAAATATTTTCTGCTCTGGAACAAGAATTAAAATTTCTATGTACAAAAATTTATTATTTCAGAATACTATTATAATTCAGCTTTAAGAAATAAAATAAACAAAATGAAAGGAACAAACAAAAAGATAAATATATATAATTAATATAATGAATAAATTTATAGTGGATATTAAATTAATAATTCAGTATTTTTTCCTTTACTATTATTACTAGAATCTAATGTTTATTAATTGATTAAAAATATAGTTAGTAATAATTAATGGATAATAATTTCCAATTAATTAATAATAAAATTTAATTCACCTTTGACATTCAAGAGAAGGGAGTTAACATCAAGATTGTTTAACGAACTATCATTACTTCTATAACTTTTTGACTTGGCAATTTCATCATCTAATATTCTGCTTTTATGATATGCGTCTGGATGTGATCTGTGGACTTGTTGTGAACTGCTACTACTGCTGTTGCTGCCACCATTGTTATTTAAATCAATTTTATCTTTTTCAATTTTAAGAAATTTATCTCTTTTAATTTTAAGAAATTTGAAAAATCTTTTTATTAAACCCTTGTTATATTTACTATCATTATTTTTCAAATTTTCAATTTTATAAATTTCATTGACAGCAAATTGACCAAGCTCTCTAATAGTCGGTCTTTTAGATGGATCCACATCCCAACACTTTTGCATCATTCGTACATAATCATCAGGCATTCCAGGTAATATTGGTGGTCGGAAGCCTTCACATATATCAAAAATTAAACGATGACTATGAGCTCTATCATCAAATGGTGGATGTCCTGCAAATATTTCCCACATAAGCATCCCAACACTATAGATATCAGATTCTTTGGTATTCTTTGCATTAATTTTACTTCCAAGCAGCTCAGGTGCAACATATGATATAATTCCATAGATTTTATTTGATGATTTTTCATCAACTGGACCACATAATCCTAAATCTGTGATATAACAATTACCTCCATACATTAATATATTGCCACTATGTAAATCACAGTGTATTATACCTTTTTCATGTATATCATATAATGATTCACACAAATAATTAAAGATTGTGATTCTATCTTTTAATTTTAAATTAGAATGATTTTTTTGTAAATAATCTCTTAAATTTCCATCTGAATGATGATTAAGAACTATTGCATAATTTCCATTATCTGGAAATTTAGTTATACCATAGCAAGTAACAATCCAATTTGATTTAATTTTAGAATAATTGACTGCCTGCAATCAAATATAAAATCAATTAATAATATATAATATTACAATATTTTTGCTTTAAATAAATCAATTACCTCATCAAAAAATGGTTTCCCTGGATTACTTGAATTATTTAAAGATTTTAATACTACAGTTTGAGCTCCCAAATAACTAAATTCTTTTTTATTTTCATCATAATCAATTATGCTTCCTCTTGCCCATGTAGCAATATAAATTGAACTAAATCCACCTTCAGTTATTTTTGTTATATCTTCAAATTGCTCAAAAGGTATCCATTCAATAATATGTTTTGGCAAAGATGATTCCCTTTGACATTGTTGAATAAAATTATCAATTATGTGATTTCCAGATGTAGTGAAAAGTTTCTGTAATTGTGAAGTAATACAACCTTCACAGAATCTATCAGAGTATCTTATTGACATACATTTGTTACATTGTTTTGATTTGCCTTCTTTATTAATCACTTTATTTAATTCAAAATCATAAATAAACTTTTGTTTGGAATACTCTTTTTCATTTTCAAAAAGTTCTTTGTTTTTTTTAACCAATGAAAAAAATTTTTTTTTTAATTTCTCTCTGTCAGAACTAATTAATTGCGCATTATAATACATTTCATTATTAATTTTATATACAAATTCCATTCTTTCTGGTGATAATAGTTTATTAAATGACATGGTTGTGTGAAAATTAATTTTGATTGGCCAATCTAATTTTTTTCATCGTTAATGAATATGATGCTTGATTCTTTGCCATTATGATCTAAATACAGTCTACTCTCTCTATAGCGACCCTCTTTATAACGAACTTCCCTTTTGTCCCCGTTTCAATTTTTTATAATTAATTTCTCTCTCTATAACGACCATCTTAATAAACTCTCTCTATAACGACCAAAAGCAGAGAAATTACATATAGGGACAGAGGGTTCGTTATAGAGAGAGTGAACTGTAGATGAATCATAGGCCCTGCATGAACCTTAATGGTTTTGTTGCGTATTAATATATACATGTAATCAAAAACAATTTTTGTTTTTTAATAATAATGCGTCAAATAATAATGACTCTTAATTTAAAAATAGAACTGCAAGTATCGTTTTCATTAATTCCACTATAAATAAATATAAACTTTTTTCTTAAAAAAAAAAAATTTCCAACAAAAATGTTTGTTTACCTTTATCACTGAATGTATCTGTGGTTTATTAATTGGTTTTTTCCTTGGTCTAATATATATAAATCAAAAAATTGATAAAATAATTAATATTAATGAAATACAGACCAAGTAAATCAGTCAGTGAAAAGAAGTACCTGAAAGAAATTGAAGTATTTATTCAATAAAAGGATAGAATTGAATCCTGATTTTTCATTCAGTGAGATGTTGAGTTGCTGCCTTCATTATTGAAAATTTATATCAACAAAAAGCTAATCCTAGAAGGAAATCAATAGAAGCAATTCGACAGTAAGTTGGTAAGGAAAAGAAGAAAGAGGCAGAGAACAAAGATGATGAAGATAATGAAAACCAAGATATCAATGTTAATAATGATATGATATTATTTTAATTGATAATAATTATCATAAAAGCAAGTGTGTTATTCTGATTGATGAGTATGATCATCCTTTTGAAAGTGCATTCTATAAAAACTACCATAAGGATACTAGGAAGCTTGCTTACTTCAATTGTAAGATAACTATTTTAAATTGCTCCTAATTAACTAATCTCTGGGTGATGATGACAATTTATATAAGGCCTTCATTTTAGGAGTGTCTTATGCGGATAAAGTGGGTTTATTTTTTGGGTTAAATAACTTGTATGTACTGAATTATATGTAGACAAGTTTGTAATCACTAAAGATGAAATTCCTTAATCATCATAATGATCCAAAAACTTTTCTAGAGTCATTAGGAATAGATCATGCCAAGGGTTATTTTAATGGTTATATAGGTGTCAAAAAGACTAAAATCTATAATTTTATGTCTACAATATCTTATATGTTCAAGAAGGAATTAAAACCATATTTGGTAAGTCACAAATCTCACCATTAGACATTGTTGCTAATACAGGCTTTATGACATAATAGGAGGCCTGCGAAAATCTATTAAAATACTAACACAAATTTAGATTATGAAACATTGAGAAGTTGTGATGCTATCAGTAATTCACTTGTCTTGTTGTGCTTTGTTGGGTATCTTACAGTGGATGCCTTTGATATCTATGTTGAAGATAAGGGTAGAGAAAGTCAATAAATTGTTGATATCAAACAAAGAAACTCATAAAGAATGGAAACATTGGTTGGATATAACTCCAGACGAGGGTTATAATCTGATATTAGAACCATTGTTGGAGTAATTCAAGAAATTTGTGACTGGTCCCAAGATTCATGTTATACAGTCAGGGATCTTTCGACGACCAAAAATATTTTAGAAAAAAAACCAAATCAACAATGATTGGCTGAATTTTATGCAGATATTTTCATAAAAAAAAAAAAAATGTAGGCGAGACTTTATTAATGTGTGTATTTATAATGCCTACACAATATATAATATATAATTAATAGTTCAAATATAACTGGTATTAATTAATTCATATATACATCATCAAAATAATTATTATAAATTTCATTTACGAAATTTGCACGCAAATAAAATCGGAAAAATTGATCACCAATAAAATAATTGACTCACGGAAAATATCTCAAACAACGGAAAAATAAAATATTCTAACATTCTAAAATGTAACAGACCTTTAATTCTTGGATTTAATTTAAACGAAGGAATTTAAATGATTGGATCATTTTAAAAAATAATTCTACACAGAAGGTTCAAGTAATATATTTAATTAGAACAAATTAGGATTTCAAAAGAAATCTTTAACATGAATAAATAACGTTGTAATTTTCTCAACTTCATGTATCACCATAATAATTAATCAATCATCTTTTTAATCATCATAATAAATAACACTTTCATTGACCTGTTGTCTTCGAATATTATATTTTCGTAATGATAATAAATCTATCTCTAACAATGAATACATACTAATTCCGTGCATTAACCATGTTCTCTCATTTTATATTCGACACTATATTATTATTGTTTTACTATCTTACCAGGTCAATTATTTATACATAAAGCAATAACTCTTCTTCATAAACATCAAAATCAGCAAAATAATAATTTTCACCAAATATCTTAAATAATCAATAATTTTGTTCCAATTTTTGGTCCATTACATGTCTCGTTGACATTAGGGAAAATATAGTGGTTGTGCATTGGGAATTTTTTGAAATAATGTATAAATCAGTCTTTGGAATTAATAAAGTATTGGCAGCAAAACCCAAGCCCTGGAAAATAAATCAACTCCTTGAACTTTTTAGATCTGCCTGAATTGAAGTCTCTTCAGAAATATATAAAAAATTTAGTGGTGTGTAAAGATTTGGAATATCAAACAATGATTGATATTTTGGATTGGACATTTATGCTGTTATTTTTCAATCAGGTTCTTTTGAAGAATATGTAGATACAATTTTTAGATTATGGAGCTTTGCTCTAAGGTGGAAATGGAAAAATTATAATAAAATACCACTTGCCTTTCTTTCTGATTATTTCTACTGGAAAGACAACAACCATCCATTTATTGAAGCAATTCAATCTCAACTTGTTAATTTCAATGACTACTATGTTGAAAATTGGCATAATACCAGTCAGCTGAAGCAATAACTCTACAAGCATTAGTATTAGATGCTCAGGATCAATCATTTATCAATGCATTTAAAAAATTGAAAAAATGCCCATACAAAGAATCCATGTTTAATTTTCTTAAAACAAGTTTGTTCTTAATTGATTATTTTCATAAAATTTATCTAAATGTGGGAGGAGGTAAAAATCTTAACAACAAAAAATATTAGCCAAATCAAAGCGTATTCAAACAGGATATCATCAAAAATAATAAACAATATTAAATTTTCATATATGTGGATTTTTTAAATGTTATTTTTGAAAATTTTGCGACACCTCTAAAATCAATAAAATAAAATTAACAACTTTGAACCTTTATAAAAAAATTTTCTACTAATATAAATGAAAAAAACACTCTGACACGTTATTAATTGAGTGTTTTAAATACAATTGGAGAAAGTTTACTCACACATCTTGCTTGGTTAATGAGCCTTTAGATTTGTTGTGCGTGAAAATCAAATTTGCGTCAATTTGAAATTTATTAATTTCACGCGCGTGAATTTCAAATTGACGCAGATTCCAAATTCACGTACAACAGATTTTAAAGTTCATCTAAATTTCCATTATTATAGTAAAAATCATTAACTGATAACTTTGAACCTTTATAAAAAATTTTATTACTAATATAAGTAAAAAAAAACTCTCTGATAGGCTATGAATTGAATGTTTGTAAATATAATCGTGGAAAGATTATTCAAGCCTTTACATTTTAAATTTCCATTTTTTATAGTAAAATCACCTTTTAAAAATTGTTTTACTAATATAAATAAAAAAACTTTCTGATAGGCTATTAATTGAGTGTTTGGAAATAGAATTGCGGAAAGATTATTCACATAGCTTGCTTGGTTATTCGAGCCTTTAGATTTTGAAATTCATATAAATTTCAACTGTTTATAGTAATAGTAAATCAATAAACTCGATAAATTTGAACCTTTAGAAAAATTTTTTATTAATATAAATGGAAAAAACTCTCTGATCGGTTATTAACTGAGTGTTTGGAAATACAATCGCGGAACGATTACACGCACAGATCACTTGGTTATCGAGCCTTTACGGAACTATGTTTGATGATCAACCATTGTGACCAACCCCAATATCATACCCAGAAACCACCATCTTCTAATAAACGTAATTATTGTTATTCTAATTTTGAAAATAATTATGATCAAGATGCAATAATGTTAATATGTGGTCATGCATTTCACAAATACTGTTATGAAATGAAAAAAATCAATGTACCTATTGCTTGGAATTTTATAAAGAAGGTGTAATTTCCAATGTATCTTCTGAGTCGTTGAATGAAGTAGAAGAATCCCGTGGTAACAGAAAATGGAGATGAAGAGGCGGAGGAAGATGTAACTGAAGAACAAATAATAGCTTTAGATTTTAAAAATGCTTTTGATTTGATTAGATTGGTAAATTTCAAATAATTAAATTGTGTGCATATATGTACAAACTTTTGATATCTTGAAAACTTAATTGTTACACTGCATAAATTATTGAATGTCACATTTGATCCACTATGCTCAGCAACATTGCAATCAATAGTAGTAGTAATCATAGTAGTAATAATATCATTATTACTAGTAGCAATAATGCAGAGGTTGTATAATTAGAATAAATTTTATTTTACTGTATGTAATAAATATTATTTTACACTAAATTTTATTTAAAATCAATTTTCATAGAATAATAATAACAACAATAACAATAGTAATAGTATTAATAATAATGATGTAGTTGTTGTTAGTGATAGTAGTATTAATGAAAGTGTAACTGTTGTAATTAATAATGAAGATGTAATGATTATTAGTAAAAATAATGATAGTAATGATGTTGAAGATTATGGTAAAAGTGAGGATGATGATGATAAAATAGTAGCTGATGACAATCTAATAACAACAACTACTGCTACTGAACAAGATAATAATAATATCATAGTTGATGTTGATGATGGCGATGATGACAATGATGATGATGATGACAATGATGATAGTAATATTATCACAAAGGTATATAGATAAATATTTAAATTATATGAAAGGATAGCATAAAGATAGATTTTATGCATTGTAGAATTTCTTTATATATTTTTTGTAAATTTATAGATTTAATTTTAACTTTTAATTTTTAGGCCAATAAAAGAAAAAATTTTTCTACAAAAAAAAATAATAGAATGAATTTATTGACAAATGAAATCATAAATTTAACAGCCGAGTATAATCAAAATGAATCTGTTGCTGCTGATACTACTACAGTAACAGTCACTGCTACTGTGGAATCCGTTGCTACCACTGATAGTAATATTAATGGGGAAGATAATCAAATTGCAAATAATGCCGGTGGTGACGATGATCATGACATTAATAATGATTCCAACACTAATATTAATATCAATTATAAGGAGGAGAACGAGAAATTGTTAACTGAAATTGCAAATCTTCGTAGAGAAATTGATTTATTGAAACATGATAGTCAACAAAGGAAAGATGACAGTACTATGATAAATATGTTGAATGTTTGCCTTGGAAATTCGAATAAAAATATTAATGGATTAATAAAAGACTTGAGTGCTGCTAAAAAAGAGACACATCATATGATTTCACAACTAAATATTGTAAAAAATCAAAATAGTATATTAGAATCAGATTGTGCAAAATTAAAACAAGAAAAACTTCAATCGGAAGCAAGTAGAAAAATGTTAATTAGTGAAAATAATAAATTCAAGGATGATAACGATCGATTAAATCACGATATCAAAATATTACAAAATTATAAAAATACATCAGATTTTAATCTTGAACTTTTAGATAATATTAATGATGAATTAACGAAAAGTAATATTCAATTGGATTCTCAGTGTAGTATTTATGAATGTATGATCGAAAGGCTTGAGGATATAAGTAACCACCAAACATATGAAATGAGAAAATTAAAAGAAGAGATTGATAACCACAAATGTTGTAATGATAGCGCCAATAATCGTAATATTAATCAAGGTAATAACAATAACAACAATAACAAGGATAAAGAGAATAACATTAAAAATGATAATCACAAAGGTAAAGAGAAGATGCCTGAACAAGAATATCAATCTCCTTCAAAAGATTCATTAACAGAAACAATTTCAGAATTAAAAGAAGTGATTTGTACCAAGAATAAAACTATTGAAAAATACATCTCAAGATCAGATAATCAAGAACATGAAATAGCACGTTTGAAATGTTTGTACGCCGAAAAAGTTGGAAGATTAAATTTGGAATTGAGCAAAGAGCAAAAAACCAGCGAAACATTTGTTAATAAAGTTAACAGGTTTATAGAAATTATTAGAGCACAGATGAAAGAAAATGAAGATTTAAAGAACCTTAGGGAAAAAGATCAACGTGAAAGTGTTAAACAGATCATCAAATGTAAAATATGCTTTGAGGAACCGATCACACACTGCTTCTCGCCGTGTCATCATTTTGTAGCATGTGGGAAGTGTTCAAGGAGAGTTGAAAGTTGTGTTGTGTGTAGAGTTAAAGTTCAAGATAATATTAAGATATATCTTTAATCTGCTTTCTTACTAGAAAAAGATTTTATTTTATAAATGAAAGATTTTAAAATTCCCCTACTTTTTAATAAAAATTATTTATTGCAATTTGGTATTAATAATTATTAATCTTTTTAGAAATTTATATAATAATTATCATTCATATTCTATTATTATTACAATACATATTATTATATCGATGGATATTTATTATATATATAATTTAAATAAAAGTAATCAAAATCAAAATAGAATAGAATATAAAATAAACAAAATAATAACATTCATTGTAATTAAAAACAAACACAAATAAAATATAAAATACCCCCATCAATTAATTAATTTGATATAAATCTCAAAACAGCTTCATCAACAATTTTTTGATCATCATATTCTTCATCAATATCCATATCATTACTATTATCATCGACTTTACTATTATTATTACCATCATTATCAACAACTTTCTTTTTGCCCCAACCACCACCACCAGGTGTACAAATAATAATACGATCACCTTCATTTACTTTAAAAGTATTTTTACCACCTAAATTTATAACGCGTGATGATTGATGACTATGACTACGACGATGATAATTACCTGTACTATTACTATTGCTACCATTAGTATCTTTTTCTTTACGTATCCATAAATTTAAACCTTTTGCACCTTGTTTGCCACCTTTTAATCCATAAGGATGGTATACACGTCTTTCAGATAATATGCTAACTTGTAATGGTTCACGAAATTCTAAATCACGGATTACACCATCTCCACCTTTATAAAGCCCTTGTCCACCTGATCCTAATAAATGTGTATTTGTGAGCGCGTGCAAATGAGCGTGAGATTTTTGTTTTTGTTTTTAAAAAAAGGACGCTATTTACCTTTGCGTATGGAAAATTCTCGAAGTAATATGGCATGATTATATCTTCTTTCTAATATTTCTGGATCAGTTATTCTTGTATTTGTCATGTGCTATTATAAATAATTAATACAAATATGTCAATTGATATATTCAAATTAAATTAAACATAATATAACGTATTAAGCGTAAAATATAACTTACAACATGAACGCCACTTTGTCCATTCCAAGTAGGACCCGCACCACTACCTATTGTTGTTATTATTGTTTTAAAAAATAAATTAATGCGTACACTACTATATTAATGCAAAAGTAAAAAATAAAACCGTCAGCTAACCTCCAGCAATAGTTTCATAATAACCCCAACCATCAACAGTTTTATTACCATCTTCGCCAGATCTACCACCTTTACCAAATGTAAGATTATTACAATCACCTTGACTTGCAGCACAAGCTTGGAAAGCTTTAAGTATAACATCAACAAGTCTTTGTGACGTTAAAACATTGCCACCAACAACTGCTGCTTTATCAGAAGGATTTAAAAATGATTTCTCTGGTATTCTTATATCTATTGGAGCTAAACAACCTTGATTCAGTGGTATGTCGTCGGCGATGAGTGACCTTAGACAATAAATTATTGCACTGAATGTAACCTATTTTTTTATAATAATAATAATTAATTTTAAATCGATTTCTTCATCTGTTCACACACACACACACATATATATATTTGGTATATAACTTACTGATGGCGGTGCATTAGTATTTCCTAAATAAATAATAAATATAATAAAGTAAATTTATAAATAATCAGGCTACATAAAAAGCTGCCTCTCCAAAAAAAAATTTTTTTCTTACCATAAACTTCAGGTCCAGTACCATTAAAATCAAACACTGCAGAACCTTCTTTATCATCAATTGTAATTTCTAATTTTATCGGTGACCCATCATCCATATGATCAGTAGCTTTTAAAGTATTTCTTCCGAATCGCTTACTAACATCTCTTAATAACCCTCTAACTGACAATTCTGCATTTTTTCTAATGTGCATCATATACGCTTGTACAACATCCAGTCCATACTCTTGTATTAATAATTTTACCAATGTGATTCCTTTATGATTGGCGGCAACTTGAGCCTTTAAATCTGATTCATTGTCACGGAAACATCTGGTACCGCTACACCCAGGATATTTTGCTGGCTCGACTGATAAAATATTGGTGAGACCTTCTAAATCAAATTTTCCTTTTGAAATAAGCTTGAAAGATTTTACAGCTGCTCCTTCTTGATACAATTCATTGGAATTTGGTGGCATAGAACCTAAACACGCATATATAAGAACAAACTTATTATTTTTGTAAGGAAATAACAAATATTTTTTAAAAAAGAAACTTACCTGGTAAACTACCTCCAATATCTGCATGATGACCTCTTGATGCAACAAAAAAAACTATTTTGCCTTCATTAAAAACTGGTGTAATAACAGTCATATCTATTAAATAAATAAATATATGTATAGTTGTTATTATTACTGTTATTCATTATTCATTATATCGTGAAAAAATATTATTTACCTGGTAAATGTGAACCACCGGCTTGAGGATGATTAGTAAGAATAACATCTCCATCCTCCAATTGGCCTTTATAGAACTCCATTTGATACTTTACTGCATGACTTAAACTACCCAAATGCACTGGAATATGTGGGGCTATAAAATTTAAATTTTTAAATAAATTAAATCTTAAATTTGATTATAATATAAAAAAAAATTTTAAATAACAAATTGTTTACCATTAGCAACTAGGCCACCATCTGGACCAAAAAGTGCACATGAAAAATCCAATCTTTCTTTAATATTTGTGGAAATAGCAGTTTTTTGTAAAGTATTGCCCATTTGTTCAGCAATGCTCATAAACCTATGACCAAATATAGACAATTGTATAGGATCCGATTCGGTCGTGACTTGACTTCTGACACCATCACCAACCATTATCATTATGTGGGTTGATGTGATATGAGCATTACAACTTGGGGTAACAAGGATCGTAGAATTTGCATCAATGATCATTGCAGGGCCTTGTATATAATTTCCAACAATAAGATTATCCAACAAATACACTGGCGTTTCCAATCTGCCATGTTCTTCAAAATACATCGGGTATGTTTTATGACCAGATTCTAATGGTATCCTCTTTAACGATTTGATTTCTTCGTAAACACTATTGTTTGTCAACTGTTGACTTTTCCCAATTCCACGAATCCTAATATCATCCACACAAATATCTCTATCGGATAAATTAAACCCGAATTCTTGTTTGTACTGTTCAACAAACGTGTCAATAAAATTCCAAGAATCTTTTGGTTTCAAGGTCATCAGAGCAAAATCTGTTCCTTGATATCTTAAGTTAAGATAAATCTCATAATGGATAGTTGATTCGTCTGTTATCTGGTATTGTGATGAAAATACGTTGGCACAATCATTAACTAAAACTTTCACTCTTTCTTGTATATGGGGTAATGTTTTCTCGGAATAAACCAGGGAACTTGGCTCTTGAACTTCATGAACAACATCAGCCAATGCTAAACCGTATGCCGACAACACTGAACTGTAACGATGAATTAAGATTTTGCGAATTCCCAAATTTTGAGCAATTGCGCATGCGTGTTGTCCACCAGCACCTCCAAAACATGAAAGTATATGTTTAGAAGTATCATAACCTTTGCCTACTGTTAATGCACGGATCGGCCTACACATGGCTTCATTTGCTACCTTTATAAATCTTTTTTTACAAATATGTAATTTGATGAATGAATGAATAAATAATGCAGAATATTGTTTATTCAAAATAAATAAAAACTTACCCGTATGCAACTTCATCTAAGCTCATTTCCTTGTCATTAAAAGCACTGATTTCTTTTGCAAGTTTTTCGAATTCAATACGGGTAGCATCAATATCTAATGGTTGGTCTTCATTTGGACCAAATATTTTTGGAAAGTGATCAGGAATCAATCTGCCAAGAATGAGATTTGCATCGGTTACCGTCAAAGGTCCATTTTTCCTATAGCATGTAGGCCCTGGATGTGCACTAGCACTCTAAATTTAGATAATAATGAGATGAATAAGAATACTATATTTCAAGAAAAATTTAAAAAAAATAATATAATAAATACTTCAGGTCCAACTACAAACATTCCATTACGAAAGAAAAGTCTGGATCCGCCACCAGCAGCAACCTAATAAATAAATATAAAATTTGTTTTTTAAAAAAACATCACGCACACATGTATATGAATGTAATATTTAGATTAATTACATACAGTGTGAATGTCCAATTGTGGTGCCTGAATAGTAATTCCAGCGGTAATGGTTTCAAACACATGTTCATAACGACCATCAAAACGAGACACATCTAAAAAAAAGAAGTTGGTTATAAAAATAAGTTTTAAATAAAACAAAACAATCAAGAAACAAATATTTACCGGTGCTTGTACCTCCCATATCAAAACCAATAACAGGAACTTTTTCTTCCTTGTCATAAGATGTAAGAGCGTAACCTTTATCATAATAATAAAGGTTTTTAGCAAATAATTTTCTTGGTGAGACCATCATAAATAAATATGTGTATATATTTATATATAAATACACTTACCAACGACACCACCAGCAGGACCAGACAAAATAGCTCTGAAACCAGAGAACTTATTAACCGGTACTAAACCACCATCACTTTGCATGAATTCTAATCTGGTACTTTTTAATAAATTTTCATCAAATCCAGATGTAAAACCGTCAATGTAATTACGAATACAAGGTGTTAAATAAGAGTCGGCAGTTGAAGAAGTCCCACGAGGCACAATTTTAATCATAGGGAGTAAAGATGATGATAATGATATATGGAAAAATCCTATTTTTGAAGCTAACTCACCGATTTGCTTTTCATGTTCTATATACAAGTGAATAAAAACATATAAATATCAATTAATTAAATTCCATTGATCTTTTAAATTAAGATTTTAAATAAATACCTGGAAAAGTATATGAATGCATTAAACAAATTGCGATGCTTTTAAATCCATCGTCATATAAAGATTTAAGATCTTTTGTAATTTTGTCACAATCTTTTAAAAAAAAAGGGAAAATGAAATTTTAGATTTAGAATTCAAAATTTTCAACTTGTGAAAAAAATTCAAATAAACAATCATTATTACCTAATTTCTTGATAACTCTAACATATTCGCCAGAAATTCCTCGATAAACATCATTTGATAAATTTGATTTGCATTCTGATTCATTAACAAGAATTACACTTTTAAAAAAGAATATATATATATATTTTAGAACTTTAAAAAATTTTTCAAAAAAAAAATTCAATTGGAAAGGAAGTTAATACCGTTCATCAATCTCAATCACTGATTGATATAATACATCAGGTTTACAAATTGACAAATCAAATATTTTAGGTCTGGCCTGATTTCCTAGATATTTAAATAAACCAAAATAAAAATTAAAAAAAATTTGTTTCTGTGTAAAAAACATAAACAGCAACAATAACAATGTAGCATTTACCGATTAATAATAAATCCTATATATATATATATATATCAACATATGATAACAATAAATAATATATTTAATTATAACATTAATTTATAAAATCAGGAATGGAATGGAAAAATTTACTTTACCTTAAATCCTTTTGTAATCAAAAGTGCACTTTTTTCACCTTTTCTTTCCAATAGAGCATTAGTAGCAACAGTTGTTCCCATCCTTATAGACTCTTAACAAAAAAAAAACAAAAAAAAACAGTAAGCGTTATGTGTATGCACACGCACACAGTACAAATATCTACCACACACACATACGATATATACCTATGAATGAGGTATCAATTGGTTTATTTTTAGGGAAATCTTTCCCAGTTGCCAACTCCAGTATTCTTCTAATTCCTTCACGCGGAGCATCAGGATAGTTTTGGGGGTCAACACTTAACAATTTTATGACAACTTCTTTACGACCTTTAGGGTATTCATTTGATTTAGGAACTGGTATGCTACCAATACAATCAGTAAAAGTACCACCTCTATCAATACTAATACGTATTCCAGAAGAACCTCTAATCATTATTATTATTATTATTATTATTATTTATTATCAGGGAGGAAGTTGATTTAATAAAAGATAAAATTGAGTTATTTATAATAAAATTACATGATAATCAAAATTTTACGATATTATTAATTTTACAAATATAAATAATATAAAATGGGAAATATCATTTATTATTTAAAAAAAAAATTAATTAGTTAAATTTCGGATCATGATAGGACTGAGAGATCACATACTCCTGCCAACTTATTCGACCACTTTGGAAAGTAATATGGTAAAAAAAATTAGAAAAAAATAATAATAATGTAAAATTTAAAAATAACTTTGGCTTACTCGTTGTCGGCATCATCTTCCATTAATATGTGATCAATCATCTTCGTTAAATCATCTAAATCCATCAAATCAGTGTCAGCGAATGTTTCTCGGAGTTCATTTCCATCTAAAAATCCATCATTATTGATATCATGAATGGAAAATAAATAAAATAGTTCATCATTTTCTTTTAGAGTCCCATATGGTAAATTTGCTTCCTTTAAATGTTCTACCACATGTCTATTGTTTTTTGTAAAGTTAGAAAATTGGTAAAAAATCATTATAAGTTACATGATTATAAAATAATTTAATTACTGTTTGATTCGTTCATGATTTCCATAATTATTATGATCTTTATCGTATTGTATTTGTATAGTTGCAAAGGCTAAAGAAATTAGAGTAACAAAGACAATTAATAAAACTCGTAAATGCATTTATTATTATATCGATTTGAAGAATGATAAAAGGAAAATCTTTTCCGTATGGATTTCCAGATTAAGATTGGAAAAATCATATAGAACCAAATCGTGGAAACCCATGATTGCATATTTGAATCGTGTAACACTTGTCAAAAGTAAATGAAATGAATTTAATCTACCATTTAAAAGAATATTTCTCATATTTATGAAAATATATTAAAGAAAATGGACAAATTGTCATCAAGATTCAATTTAACTAATATTAATAAAGGCCTTGGTCAAATTCGTCAGGTAAGTTTAAAAAAAAAGTATCGTTTTTTTTTAGGCATTGGTAATTTTTAAAAACAATTAAAATTAAAATTAAAATTGTAAAAAAAAAAACAAAGGTTGTATCAGAAAAACTTGGCACAGCAGAGGAAATTACCGATCTTCCCGCAGAGTATAAAGATCTTGAAAGGGTAGAGTCTTATTTTATTTGAAACATAATTATTTTCAACGGCTTTATTATAAATAGATATTTTATATATTACTTTATTTTTAAAATGAAAAGAGAGTTGATGCACTTCGTACCCTCCACACAAATTTGCTTCATGTCACTCGTACTTACACCAATTCATCGTACGATTACCCAAATCAACTTCAAGAATCTGTTGTAGAACTTTCACGAAGCGTAGGTGGTTATTTAAAGCAAGTTCCAACTGAAAGAACCAAGAGTACTACCGAATTTTCAGATTCATCATCTACCACCACTTCTCAAACATTTTCATCATCATCAAAGACTTTACCCCACGCGCTATCAAGAGCTGCTTCACAAGGAGCACAACTTTTTGGTAACGAGGAACAACTTGGAATCGCATTAAGCAAGTTTGCAATTATGCAAGAACGTATTGGTGAGCAACGAATGAAAATGGATAGAGAGATTACTAAAAAATTTGTCGAACCATTTAGCACAACATTGAATACCGATTTACAATATGCGATGAAAGCTAGAAAAAATGTAAGATCAACTCGTTTGGCACTTGACACTATCAAAGCAAAATATAAACCAACTCAACCTGAATTGTCTGACGCTGCAAAATTGGAAATTGAACAGGCTGAAGATCAATTTGTGGCTGCTGTTGAAGAGGCAACTACATTGATGAAATCTGTCCTTGACAAAGTTAGTGTATATTCATTATTTATTTTAATATTAATATTGATATTGATATTTATTGTGAATATTTTAAGGAATAATTATATTAATTACATACATAAATGCACGCACACACATACAAATATATATAATTATATAGCCTGAACCTCTTCGTAATTTATCAGATTTAGTAAATGCTCAATTGGCTTTTTATAAAGAAGCATATGAAACTCTTGCTGTACTTGCACCAGAAATTGATGATATTCATGTAACTCAAGAAAGATTATACAGGTAAGCAAACACACATTTTTGATTTGTTTTTTAATTATAATTATATATCATAGATCTTTCTATTAATTTATCATTATATTTTTTTTTGAAAAATATAGAAATAGTCATAATGATTAAAAAATAATTTCATTTTATTAAAAAAAAAACTTCTGTTTTGTAATCATTTTCAATATTTTTTTGTAAATATAAATCTCAATCGAAGCTTTATTATATTAAACTAAAAATATATAACAATTACTCTACATACACTATTTATTTACCAATTAATAAAAAACCTATTTTTATAATTATATGTTTAAACAAAAGAAACTCTAACAAACATGTCATTGTAACCAATCAATAGTTATTTTTCAAAAGAAACGATTAAAATCAAGTTTTTGAGAATAAAAAACTGTAATTAAAGCTGTGTGTTGCAATTTTAAAGGAAATATCTCTACGATCAAAAATGAATTTTATACTACACCGGGTCCTAACTCGCTATTATGAATGTTCAAATTTCCTAGAGAGTTTTATATCTGGAGCGAGTAGGTAGAGTTTTCAAAAAAGAAAGCAGGGCTAACGAAAGACGCAGATTGCTTTCATTAGGTTTACAATAAACACTACTAAGATGACGATATACTTTAAAAAAATCAAGACAAAGAATAAAGATAAGCGAGACTGCTATATACTACTATTCCGTAGTGAAGGTGAGAAGTGGAAGTGTTTTAAGACTTGAAATGGATTTTCTTGAGATGAGAGACGATGTAATAATGATGAAATCAATTAGGTACATCGCGATCACGAATTAAAGTTCTTTAGTTGGTAAAAAAGTTATGTAGGCAAAATTATTACTGATTCATCAATATAACGTTTTGCAGAGATGAGAAACAGGGTCATCTCTACTTTAACGAACCGCCCAACGAGTGAGTATACAGTCAAAAAAATTTGAGATTTATTATTAATATCATAACATATATTGAATGCGTAGGATAAAAGAATGAATGTAAATTACATCAAAAAATATCGAGAAGAAAGAAATAACAGAAATTTACAACATTTGCTATGGCAATTTAAACTGAATGACTTAACCGTAAGGAATTGTTGTTATTGTTATTGTTATTGTTATTGTTGCTATTGTTGACTTTTTGTATTAGGATTCTGTATGACTTTCCGTAAGTTTGGTTTTTGGTTAATTCGTTGTAAATGTCGTTCATTAAAACGCTGTAATCCTCTTCTTCCGACTCCAAGGAATTTCCCATTTTTCTTCGTAAAGATATGAGGATTTCTTGAGCTAAATATAAGAAGATAAGTGAATTGTAAATATCAAAATTAACATTTATTAATTATAATGAATTTACCAATATTTATAGTCTTCCCGGTTTCTTCATGTTTGTATGGATACCACGCATTATCTTTCTCTTCAATGAATACCACTGATTTATTTTTGTAACAACTATACAATAAGTCAACCACTTGCTTTAGAGTAATATCATAATTAAGATTAGGTTCAAATATTTTTAAATCTGTAGTTTTACAAATGGTAAAACGTTAGTAAAATTATAAATAATAAAATACATATATTAAAGTTAACTTTTTCCGCTCACATTTAGTGATAAAGTCTCGAGTTTTGTCACCCATATTGTATGGTAACAAATCAGTATCCATAATCTAGTACACATAATAATAATATATTACTAGGATGAAAATATTAGATATGTGCACAAAAACAAACAAATAGAAAACTTGCCTCGATCCAACCACCATCTTTAGTGACACGAAACAGTTCGTGAAGTATAATGTCATTCCACTCGAATATGTTAAAATAGCGCAACATGAAACGCAAATTTACAAAATCGAAATTATTGTCCATGTACGGCAACCCCTCCAAGATATCTCCTTTTAAAAAGTTGACGTTACGAGGTTTTATTTCTGCGGGAAATATTGGTGAAATGTCGATACCAATGAATTTACTACTTTGATATTTGCTTGCCAATTCATGAATCCACACGCCATTACCACAACTAAAAAATAATATCAATATATTAACATCATCGTGTATATATATATAATTTATAATTTATAAAGTTTATTTACCAAACGTCAAGAACCGATCCTCCTTCTTCAAGAATCTTGGAGACCGGTGAACTAAATGCACTTTTCCAAGACAAACAGTAATAGTAATGGATCGAGTTGATCCTGTCGATATCTTCGTTGTCACCTATCAACGTCATTCCTTCCATATCGTCTTCGAGATTATTATTCCTATTATTAGTAGACTCTTTAGCGAAGCTATTAAACCTTCGTATTTTTATTGAAGAAGTTTGTTGTTGATAGTTATTGTTCGTGTAAGGTTCTTGGGCCCCATCTGATGATAAAAAAATTTTATTCTTGCCGATGCCGATGCTCAAACGATTTCCCATTTTAATGTATTAGACGTGTGTATGTAAATATTTATAGCGAAGTATTATAAGAGAATGTGAGTGTGTATATATATTTAACGTGGTTAGGAAGATTTGAAAATCGAAAATTGTTTTAAATGAAAGAATATTATTATCGTTGTTTATTATAACAAATAATACGAAAATGTTTTTCTTTTGACAAAAAAATCGCTTGCTTTTATAATTGAAAAATAATTAGAAAAACATGAATTATGATAATGGATAAAGAAAATCTCGGAACAAATCACCATTGGTTTTGATTAAATAAAACAAATCGCACAAATAATAAAACAATAATTTTTTTGGGTTTTTTAAATTGTGTTTATTTGGTTTCTGGCACCTTAAAATTGCCCAATAAATACTGACAATAATAAAAATACCAAATTAATAAATGACAAAAGAAAGTTTTTAATTGTTTTCTAACTAAGGATTAATTCGTTTTTTTTTTCATTTCATTGAAATGCCCTATTTGAATTTTCTTTGTTTCCTTGTTTCGTTAAGTTTGCGCGCGTCGCACACCCGAAAAGAAACTGGCGCGCGAAGAAATAGATTTGTTTGATCATTTAATGCGTAATAAATGTGATATTGATTAATTAAACTCTCGCCTTTTCTTCTTTCTTCCTCTTTAAGTTCTCAATTAATATTTCAATTCAAAGAAAATTTTTCTAATAATAACAATTAGTGAAACATCTTTAAATATTTTAACAGGGAGGCGAAAATATTTTCAAAGAAATTACAAATTAGTTACTTCAATGGAAAAAATATAAATAATAATAATAATAATGTAATTTAATTAGTATATATAAAAAATAAGGTTTTTCAGATAGAGATGTCAATTGCCATATATATGCGATAAGAACTATACCATACTTGGATCTAAATTTGTCGATCAAATTTTCGAGAAAAACTATAAAATTATTTTGAGCCCTTTGCCAGGTATTCTATATTCTAAAAATAGATTTTAATATCAAAGTTCTACCCCATTTATCGTATTGGTTGCATATAAACAAATCATCGGATTTGGGACGGGTCTAATTACATTCGACCCCTCTATTTTCATTTATTCTTAAGCACTCATGTGATTATCAACAAGGAGAGGTAAAAATGATGAAACAATTTTAAAGTAGAACAATAAATTTCAAGGTAGTTTCTTTTTTTCCAAAACTAATGGATTATAATGTAGTTTCCGAAAATATTTTATTAGATTTCTTTTTTTTTTTTTTTAATAGCTGAACGCGTTGTTCTCTCGGACGCGTTATACTTGCAAGAATATAAAAAGATGCGTTACAAGCGACGAATAAAATTGAGATAGTCTGCTCGGAAATATCAGGTTTCTTTATCATCAGTCATATGAATATTTTCTTATCAATGTTTATAATCTAATTGCGTCAAATAAATTCCAAGAATCCAAAACCCTAATGAGAACATAACACTCATGTATTTTTATGTATTATAATCATAAATAAAAAAACCACTTAATTAAAAACAAAGAAACCCAATTAAATTTGAATTCGGCGTTATATTTTTTAAAGGACTAATGATGTAGCCCTCCTTGAAAGTAGGCACGAGTCCAGTCATTTGAGTTATTGATTTATGCACTTCAATCAAATGAACTTTTTATTTTTATTTTTAAGATTCAAGTTAATTTTTCATTATTACTAAATAATAACAACAATAATAACAATAATAAGGTTCGCTAAACCAAAGTATTTTCATATCATATAGAGCAATATCCGTCAAATCTTAAAAATAAAACTCCAATCCAATGAATGAGCATCATCCAGAGAACAAACTGGAATTATAGCACCAACTAATTAATTCTTGTGTGTTTTTTTTATTTTTCATTGCTATTCAATATTATAGCATTTATCCTCAAAAACACATCCAAAATTCCATTTAAATTCTAATGATAAGTTCTCGATAATCTTAAACTAAATAATAGTGTGATATAGCAATTTTAATTCTTTCATTTTCATTCTTTGAAGGGCAATAGTTAGTAATTATTAGTTGAATAAAGACGCCAATTCAGGCACACAATACGTTGAACTCTTTTGATTGAAGTAATTGAATATCTTTAGATTATTATTGCTATCAATATTATATCATTTACATTTCTTTATTCTTGCCCTATTAATCCATTTCTGAATTGCTTCTATTGTTATTTTTCTAGTATTTTTGTTGACATTTATTTTTTAAATGGAAATCTTTTCAATTTGCGAATTTATTTATTATTTTTATCAAATTCTTTCTCTCTCTCACTCTATCACGTCAATTATTTCATATAATAAAACCAACAATTCATAAAAATAAAAAATTCAGTTGTAAACGTTTTTAGTATAAAGATATTTTGCAATCTGATTTTGAAAACGAGTTTATCAAAGAGTTTATCAAAAAAATTTAGAAAAAGTTTATATCAAAAAAAAAAAAAAAAATAAAAGTTTATTCGATTGTTAAATAATAATAAACTTTTTATTTAAAAAAAAAAAGACAAATCAAATAAAATGTTATTTTTATTACATGGAATAAAAAGTAAAGACATTTACGCGACAGCAATATTTACTTCAATTCCGTTAATAATATAATCATGTGATCAGTTGCAACATCTGAGTGGGCTAGTTTAAATTATTAACTTTCCTTTTTTTTTACATCATGGATCAATCACTAATCCCTCTTATAAAAAGCATGGCCTGACAACCCAACGAGGTGACGATTGAAGACGACGGATGATGCTGTAGAAGATACTTCCTGAAAGGAATTTTCATGGTGAATATACCTAATATTAACGGAACACCGGTTCAGTTTCCATCTACGTTCAAGGAATTTCCTGTATGAATATAGACTACGGATTTCACCGTACACGCCATGAAGACGTTCAAGGGATTCACCACATGTACGCTAAAAGCATTTTTCCAAAAAAAAAGCACTAAAGAGCTCTTTCTACAAAACACGGAATCAAACAGGAAAAATGTACCTCAGTGATATTTCGGTCTTTTCATCATAAATTACACTTCTTACCAATAAGGTTATCTCTGCAAACTGTTGTTCTATGTCCACAAAGTATAATTTTGTGAGTTAACAAGGATGGACATTTCCTTGACCATGCTTTTTGCAAAATCGTTTGTCGTGCAATGTCAGCGAATCCGAGGAATGTGAAAACACTATTTGTAATCTCAAAGATTTCGTGAGCAATCATATTTCATATATCACTTTTCCCTACTCAGAAGATTAGTAGAACAACATACATACCCTGTGAGAAGACAAAAGATGAATTGAAGTCTTATGGGAGAAGCCGCTGCTTTTAAGGTCATTGGTGTTAAAAAACCATTTGGAAAGTCGTAGCAAAGTTTTGTATTGTTCCTGATTAAATTAATTCATGGTTCATTGATTCACCATACACAGATTCTAAGGCTTCCACCGATTTTCACAAGTTATACATGGAGGTTATGAGGGAACCCTTATACTTATGCATTTAAGTTTACAAGATTTCAGAGAGAGATTCATGCTCATGGAACGTGAACCGATATAGAATCAATTATTAAATAATCTCACACATTGCATTTTATTTCATCTGTAGTAACAAATTTGCTTGTAACATTATTTTAGCATCACATTTTTCGACGGTCAATTCAAGAGTACACACAAATTTTGTTGTCTTTTGTTGGTATTTATATTTTAGTTATTGCTAATGTAAAATGTTGTTAATAAATAATACAGGATTAAATTCTCTTTATCCGTGTTCACAATCAATTAAACATGAGATATTGTGATAATGCTTACAGTATTATTGTTTTTTAAATTAATAGATAGGAAACATTATCAATGCAATAAATATAAATATAAATATAAATGTAAATGTAAATTAAGAATGCGACTTTGCTTCTATAGAAGAAAATCCAATTTTCACATGGATACGATTAAATTATTACAGCATTTTTTTTCTCAGCATTTTCTTTATCGGCATATCCATCAATTATCTTGGCAATATTTTCGTCTCTAGTACTAATTACGTTCGTTACATAAATATTATCATCATACTCTATTCCTTCCATCCATCATATAGTTATTATCATTACTACTAGCATTATACTCCTTGGGGATCGGAGGTCTGATTGACCTTTTTTCTGGATAAAAGATTAGATTATAAAATTTTAATACTTGAATCTCAAATGATGTTTAAGTGCGTATTTTTGCACTAAAAGAACTATTTTTTTGATTTAATTTGTCGTATTTGGTGGCTTATTATGATTAGAAAAGTATAAATATTTGTTGTTGCTATTGCTGTTGCCCTCTTTGTCAAAAAGGTAACAATATAAAGAAGTTAGGTTTTAATTTATAGAGAATTTATTCAACTAAAAATAATGACATGTTGTTGAACCTGTAACAATGGCGATCTGGCCATGATGATCAGTAGTGGGTATGATTTTGGTGGAACGACGCGAAAAATTTTTTCTTTGAATTAAAGAATAAAAAACAATAAAAACGATATAAATATGGCTACTTTTATTACTAAATTACCTTTAAACTATAAACATGATGCATGCAAGTCTCTCTTCTATTTTTGAATTTATCTTTGCTAAAAAAATTTATTAGGTAGACGCGTCAATGAAAAAAGATTTACCAAGTATTATTTTCTTTTCCTTTAGTGAGTATCGCTAAATTTTTAGCAGAATTTCGACCAAATAGCGAATCACAAGATAATAGTAGTTTTATGGATGTTGATGGTGTTGATATAAGCCCAAATCCATGTAAATATAAAGAACAACTGGTATATATATTTTTTTTTTAATTACTTAATATTTTATTATACAATCGTTAGATTCATCAATTAAAATAATTTTTTTCATTTGATAAAATAGCAATTAATAGCAAATAGAGAAAAAAAGTCTATAACAATTGAACTTGATGATTTTGCCACGGTAAATAAATTATTATTATCATTGATTTAAAATTCTAAATTTTAAATCAATCAATCAATCAATCAATCAATCAATCAATCAATTTATTCATTTATTATTTATTAGTGGGAAGATCAACTTGAAGACAGTTTACTCGAAAGAATTCAAACAAATATAAGAAGATATCATGATATATTTCAAGATGAGATTGATAAATTGTTACCAGCTCCTACAAAAGAAATAGATTATGAAAGTGATGTAATAGATGTTATTATGCAACACAGAAGAGATAAAGATGAACAAAATTTACCTGAAGATCGTACAATTTATCCTCCCTCTTTAACAAGAAGATAGTTAGTTATTTTATTGATTTATATATTTAATTGTTTTTTTATAATTATCGATTGTCCTAACAATAAAAATATATAATTAGTGCACTTTATTTCAAACCCTTGTCAACTGAAACACCTTTAGCAATTCGTGAAGTGAGTGGTAAATATGTTGGTCATCTGGTGACAGTTCAGGGTATGATCATTCGTGTCAATGATGTCAAGCCATTTTTGTTGGTTGCTGGTTATTCATGTGAAATGTGTGGTAATGAAGTATTTCAAGAAGTAACAAAAAAGGCTTATACTCCACTTGTTGACTGTCCAACGGAAAAATGCAAAAAGAATAGAATAAGGGGGAGATTGTTAATGCAGACTAAATCTTGTAAATTTTTACCTTTTCAAGAGGTAAAAATGCAAGAAATGGTAATTAATCAATTACACATAAATAATTTTATGTATTTTTTTTTTTTTAATAAGAAAATTTAACCATTATGATTATTATTATGATTATATATTTATATTGTGTCAGACTGAACAAGTACCTGTTGGTCATATCCCCCGTACAATGACTATATTATTATATGGAGAAGTAACGCGTTCAATGAATCCCGGTGATGTGGTAAATGTTTCAGGAATATTTCAAGCGACACCACATAAAGGATACAAAGGTAGTACTAGTCTTTTGACTGATGTCTATCTAGAAGGTCAATACGTTAATCAACTTAAAAAACAATACGATAAAATGGAAAAAACACCAGAAGTTGAAGAAAAATTAATGGGATTACGTGGAGATCCTTTAATTTATGAAAAATTATCAAGTAGTATTGCGCCTGAAATTTATGGTCATGGTGATGTGAAGAAAGCTTTATTGTTGTTACTTATTGGCGGTGTTACTAAAAACACGAGTGATGGAATGAAAATTCGTGGTGACCTGAATATATGCTTGATGGGCGATCCCGGCGTTGCAAAGTCTCAATTACTTAAATATATATGTAAAGTTGCTCCAAGAGGTGTATATACAACTGGTCGTGGTAGTTCTGGTGTTGGTTTGACTGCATCAATTAATCGGGATCCAACAACTGATGAAATGATTCTTGGTATTTAATTGATTAAATCGTGTTCCATTTAATTTTTAATAATTTACCAATTAATTACTAATTTATTTATATTTTATTATAAAGAGGGTGGTGCTCTGGTGCTTGCTGACAATGGTATTTGTTGTATTGATGAATTTGATAAGATGGATGACACTGATCGAACAGCCATACATGAAGTTATGGAACAACAAACGATTAGCATAAGTAAAGCTGGCATCACAACAACCTTGAATGCACGTACATCAATTTTAGCAGCTGCAAATCCACTTTATGGTCGTTACAATCCTAGGGTTTCGCCCGCTCATAACATCAATTTACCAGCAGCTCTTTTGTCAAGATTTGATGTTATGTTTTTAATTCTAGATAGACCAAATCTGGATGAAGATACTAAATTAGCACAGCATGTTGCTTATGTTCATTCATTTGGTAAACATCCAGTAATGCAAACTGAAGTAGTGGAAGCTCAAATGATTAGGTAATAAATTAACTGATTTGTTATTAAATGATTTTTTTTTTAATAAATTTTAAAAAAATTTTTATAAATTTTAGACACTATATTGCTGAAGCAAGAAATTGTCGTCCAACTATTCCACCACCTGTTGGTTGGTATATGGTTGATACATATAAACGACTTCGTCAAGATCAAGCCGGTGGTGATTTCAAAAAAAAGGAATTTACTTTTACAAGTGCTCGTACCTTGCTAGCAATGGTTCGATTAGCACAAGCACGAGCACGCCTAGGGTTAAGAGAAGAGGTTAGTCAAGATGATGTCGATGAAGCATTGAGATTAATATATGTATCTAAAGAATCATTAAAGGATCCAGACACAAACAATGACAATTTTGATAGATCACCTACTTCTATAATTTATGGAATTATAAAAACAATAATAGCTAGAGAACGATTAGTAAGTTTTGCAGGTGGTGACGATGATGATGATGATGATGAAGATGAAGGTGAGGTTGGCGGAGAAGAGGGGGGAGAGAGGGTAGAAAGGGTAGAGAGAGAGATGGAGGTACTGGAAAATCATGGTGGATTATCAATTGATTATTTGACTATTAAACAAAGAGTTTTGGCAAAAGGTTATACAGAAGATCAGTTATTAGAGTGCATTCAAAATTATCAAGAACTTGCAGTTTGGACATTGAGTAGGGATCGAGACACATTAACAATACTTAGTGTCTGATGATAACTATAATTATGATAAATATTGATTGCAGAAATGTAAAAAAGAAATTTATATTTGACAATGATTATTAATTTTAATAAAATATTAATTTTTGAATCATAAAATTAGAAAAACCAAATAATCTTTTTTGAGATATTAAAAAGCAAAACCTTTTTTTTTTTTTTAAAAAAAACAAAGTTATATATAGCACATATTTATTTAACAATAACAACTAATATTTAATTTAAATCTTCATCATCGAAATCGTCAGGAAAATCTAATCATTAAAAAAATTTTTTTTTAATAAGAATATTTACGTAATTAAAGTAATAATAATAATATCCTTTACCATTAAAAAACTCTTGATCCACTAATTTATCACCTTGTCGTTGTTTATGATGCCAACCTCCATTATTATGATGTGGATGTGTTGGACTAGGGAAGAAATTTTCATCATATATGCCACTACTATTATCACTACCATCACCTTGTTGACGATTATTATGATGAGAATGACTACTTCCACCACCTCTACCACCACTTATTTCATCACCACCGCTACCTCTTTCTCTATCTCTATAACCTTCTCCTCCTCCTCTTTCATTATCTCTACCGCTTTCTTTTATAAAATCTGATTGAGGTTGGTATGATGAACCTCCATCTATTATCATTTGTCCGTCATCATATTCATCCGTAACCATTTGTTCAAAATAATCATCTTTTTTTTAATAGTAAGTCAATTAATTAAGAAAAAACTTAATATTAATAATATCATAATTAATAAATTAAATCAAATTACAACAATAAATTAAAAAGTTACTAATTATTACCATCGTCACCTTCAGGTAGCTGTGACGCCATATTATCGTTAATATCTTCCACCTTTTTTTTTTTCGCCCTTGGTCTTTTGCGTTTTTTTGTATGATTACCTATCGTGAAAAATTTATTATTCTCTTTTTTTTTTTTAGTTTATGATTTCTTATCGTTTTTTTCGCGATAATGATTTGATCAGTATTAACGTTGGAATAAAAAGAAGTTTGTTTTATTTTTTGCGTTGATTTTGTATACCACACTGGTTTATGTATCTGTCGATCTCGACAAGTTTCTACATTTTGTGTCACAATAAATAATATTGAAATGGGAATAGCTTTTACAAAATGAGGGGAGTAATAAGAAATTTCCGAGATTACGACTTCATTTAGGTCAAAGAACCGGCAACCTTTAAATGTTGCCAGTATAGATCTTTTTTGGTTTCACGAAAGTTAATACGCGACACATTTTGCAAATTATATATTTTTTTATTTCTTAATAAATATGGGTAGATTGTCTAAAAGAAGTTTGCATCTTAAAAAAATATCACAATTATCCGTTAAATCTAGACAAGAAGTAATTAAAAATAAGAACAAAGAGATTAATAATGCAAATGAATTGGTTGATAATGAAATGTGAGGAGACACATATAAATGATTTAAATTTGTTATATATATATTCTTTTTTGTAATTTAATTCATTTTTTTTTATTCAACACAGTAATAGAGAATTAGTCAGCAATTCAAATAATGAATTACCATTTTCAAAACTATTATCAAACCACTCAATAGTATCATCAACATCGTCACCAGAACTTTCATCAAAACCATCCGAAAATACGAAATCTTATGCCAGATCTAAAAGACCGCTTAGTTATCTTGGAAATTCTATCAGAACCAGGCAAAGAAAGAAAAGAATTGGTAGATTAGACGCTGAAAAAAATGGGAGCACATTAGATAATTTTTTCTCTACAGAAAAAAATCTTCAGATAAATGAAAATGATATGAATTCCCACAATGACTTGATTGAAGAAAGTAATGCAGTTGAAATCAATCTCGTGGAACATCAAAAACATGAGGTGGAATTGAGAAAATAGATGAATTATTAAATGATCCATCGTCATCCATTACCTCAAATGGATATAAAGTTAAAGCATTACAAAATTATTGGATCAAAATTAATGTATTGCTCAATTGTTAAATAAAGGTCCTTGATTTTCTAGGTGTGTAAGAAGTTGGGCAAAAATCTTTTATAAAACTTGGAAATATTCCACTAGTGATGTCAGCCGGCTGATGTTTAATACAGTCAAATCTCAATAGGCCGAACTTTTGGGAATAACAAAAATGGGCTTATCAAGATTCGGTTTATGATGATTTACAATTATGTTTTTGGTTAACCATTTTTGCACCGTTATAAAGCGAAAATCGGTTTATAGTGGTTCGGCTTGTCGAGGTTTGACTGTAACTTGAAATGAAAAAAAAAATTTTCTTTCATTACTTATGTACTTGGAATGAAAAATCTGCCATTCACTTGCTCCCCCCCCCCAAAAAATACAATAATCGTAGCACAATAATAAATAATAAAGAAAGTAATAATAGTGAACCATTAAATAATAACAATGGCAACGAATCAAGAGATATATCATTGAATAATAATAATAATAGTAGTACACGTAGTAGAAGTGATAGTATTAACAATAAATAGTAGCCCGCAGATCATAATCATTTAGATGAAATATAATTTGCTAATTCAGTTTGTTGTTCTTTGGCAAGATGTTAATTGCACCAGATTAATTTGACAAGAATAAAGAGTTGGTTAGATTGCTTAAAATATCGAGAACATAGTGAGGACCTCTCAGCAGATTCTTTTGAATAAAAAAATCCGAAGATTGTCGTGAACAAGCAGCAAGGTGCCTAAACGTTTTTAGGATAATATAAGTATTTTGGCAATATGTCGGAATATGCGATATGTATTTATCAATAATGCTAAATATAAACTTAATACGGAGCCAAAAAATTAATTGGTGATTCAATTATATCTCCAACAAGGCAACTAAAGACAAGAAAAAAAAAGCTCAACTTAAGACAAAATCGAGATTAGTTGACTCATCAAAACAACCAAAGACAAAACGGCCTTATAATAATGACTTACTATTTACAGATTTATATCAACTTGTAGAATAATAAAATGAATTCTGGTACGATTTTACAATTATAACAATTAATAATACTAACGTTGATCTCTGAAATTTTTTCCGACTTAATTAATGCTCACTTTTGTCTTGGTCTGGTTTTGTTGCAGTGTGCCCCATATAATTCAATGAATGCGTAATTAAAAATGCAATAAACATGACCTTCTATAGCTTAATGAATAATTTAGTTAGTAGGGAACTCCATGCTATACCGATTTTTGGATAATTAAGAACTTTTGGTGATAAAAAACATCTCGGATAATTGAATTTGGGCCTGTGTTAATATTAAAAGGTAAGCAGATATGATTGTCACTATTATTATTAGAACCTAGCCGCAGGAGCTATTATCTAGTCATTGCTGAAATCTAGCCGCGACTGGATTCCAAGCATCACAATACAGTAATCAATCTTCAAATGGCAATACAGTAATTATAATGATAACAACCTAAAGTATCAAAGAGATGAACGCGTGGGCAAATAAGACAAATAATAAATCAATTTTAAAAGGCATTTCTCGTGAATATGCAATTTTTTACATTATAATAAGAATAAAAATATGTATATTGTATTCGATAATAAATATTAAATAAAAAGAACATTATATAATAATTGTAATAATAAGTTATAGATGTTGGTATTTTGCATATTTCCAATATCCTTGATTCCACCTGACAAATACATAAGGAAGAAGAAGTGATTTTACAAACCAAGGCATGTAACTATAAACCATGAGATCTCTATCTTCTTCAGGCAAGTGTAAGAGTATAAATGGAAGAATAGTAGTTGACCCACCGGCTTTTCTAACCGCATCTTTGATTTGTTCTTGAATTGTTTCAAGTTCTTGCACCGTAAGATTTTTTCTCAAAGCTTCAACTGAAAAGGTGACTTCCTCGTTTTTTAAATGAGGAAGAATGAGGTCACTTATTTTCGTCATCAACTCCACTACTTTTGATGATTCATAAGTCACTTTCTTATTTTTAACTTCTGACGTGTAGTTGGACAAGCTATGGAGTAATTTATCGAGTTGTTTGTGATCATCAACAAAGTCGCTGATAGGTATTTTTTTGGATACTGAGGGAAAGATTACGTGTTCCTCGTGATGATGATGACTCATGAAATGAGAATTGAATGCTTCGATGTATCCTATAAAATTGTCAATATCAGAGGCGGGTACTTTTGGAGCATTCTAAAGAAATAATGTGTTTTATAAAATTTTTAGATGATTTTTCATTGTCAAGAATCCAAATATTTTTTTCGGCCATGTTACCTCTAAAATTTGAACCATCCCCGCTCGAAGTGTATCATGAATTTTAATAAATCCATAAGTAAAAGTTTCGAAAACGTCAGCAGGTTTATTGGATGCCATGATTTTTTTTTATTTGAAATATATATATATATATATTTTTTTTTTGTAAGTGACGATGGTAAATTCAAAAAATGAGCCTTGATGTCCGAGGTTTTTATAACATTTGAGTTATGTACCACATGATATAATTTAGCATCTGTGATTGCAAACGATTGAATTAATGTTTTTACTTAATATATCGATTAAATAATGTATATGCATAATAAAATAATAAATAAAATCATTCGACTTTCATCAGCTATCGTTACTACTACATAAAGATTAATTGGTAAACATGGTAATAATTTTAATAATAATAGATGACTTTTTTTAAAAATAAACAAATAACTAGTGATGTTAGCCGGCTAATAATCTGCATGCATAATTTCTAAATTTGGTAATAGATTTCTGCGTTACTTTCTTGTTATAGAAATAAAATTACCAATTTAGGTAGTAAACGGCTTGGCGGCTAAGGATTTTTAAAATAACAAATATTTATTATTGATAATATAGATAGAATTAATCATCCAAATATTTTCAATAGTAATAGTTTCGTCCGTCTCTTTCAACTCCTTTTTCTTTACTATTACTATTAGTACTAGAATCTAATATTGTTATTATTGTTAACTGATGGAAATAAAACTAAATTAACGATTAACGATTAATAAATTTCAATGATTTAACATTTATAATGCTGTCGATTTCCCCGGACTCCCTTGGCATAAAATGATTAAATTAGAGTTTCATCCAATAAAATTTCGACCATCTAAACTGAATTTTCTTTCATTTCGTAAATTTCAAGCATTCCAATACAGGTATTATTCTTCAAATGGCAATAATAATAATGATAATGATGGTGGTAATAATTCTTCAAGTTTAAAAAGATATGAATGTGTAGAAGAATTAATGTGTAAAGGTTAGCAACAATAAACAATAATAATATTTTTTACTATCAATTTTAAAAATATTGATTATTTGCATCGAAAATCCATATGAAGAGCCAATGGTAAAACCAAAAACAAAAGCATCAAATTGGAGGCATGATGATTTTATTAAAAAAATTTCAGCAAAACAAAAATATTCTTCCATACTTAATAATAAAGATAATGTTGATTTATCATTGCTCAAACAACAACAACAACTGGTTCCTAAAACAATGTCAGATTCTTGTGTTGAAAAATTCTTGCCACTCAAAAGTGATGCTGAATTGTTAGAAGATTATATTAGTCCATATGGTGGAATTAGGTATTTCTGGATGATGATATCTGTATATTAATATATATATCTTTACATTTTTATAACATAGGTGTCGTTTAGATTTAATTAAATTTTTTTTTTTTAAAGATTGGGAAAAATATTTGAAAATTTGGATCTTTTAGCTGGTGCAAGTGCTTATAAACATTGTGAAATTGACAAAAGTAATTTAGCACCTTTTTTAATAGTTACAGCATCTGTTGATAGATTGGATTTGTTAATTAAATACTTGAAAATCAATGATCTAAGATTAATTGGGCACGTAACTTATGTTGGATATAGTTCAATGGAAGGTGAAAACCAAATAATTAAAATTATTATTATCATTATTGTCATTTGTTAAATAATAAAGTAAGATAATTATTTTACACCTATATTTAACTAGTTTTGATTAAAATGGAATCGCTTAAAGATGGTGTAATGCAAAAAATAGAAAAAAATCCCGAGTACATATTTAACGAAAATCAAGATAAACTTGAAACGATTATGATAGCAAGATTTACAATGGTAGCAAAAGATCCAACGACAGGTCAAGCAGCTCGAGTCAATCCATTACAATTAGAAAATGAAAATCAAAAAAGACTATTTCAAATGGGAAAAGGTACATTAATATTATTAATTGTTTTTTTATAATATATGTTTAAATATATTTAAATAATATATATATATATATATATATAAAATCATATAGAACTAAAAGCTCGTAAAATTGAATCAGCTGCCAAATCTCTTAATAAATTACCACCAACAAAAGATGAAAGATTATTAATACATGATTTGTACCTTGAATATAGCAAATATGCGGGTAAAAAAAAATGATGATTATTATTAAATCTATTCAATATCTTATTTGTCTGTTTATTTGTTTCCTTATTAGATACAAAGAGAAAAGAAAAGAAACCCGATGATATTATGTGGATGGATGAAACAATTATGGAATCTGTTGTTCTCATGCAGCCACAAGTAATGTTTATAGTGTAAATTTGAACTTGTATAATAAATAAATTTTTAATATATACATCTTTTTTCCAATATTATTAGTATAGAAACCTTCATGGTTTTATATTTGGTGGTTATTTGATGAAATTAGCTTATGAGGTAGAATGCTACTTTATATTTTTTTCAATTGTCATTATTATATATTTTTTTTAAATAAGCTAAACTTTTTATCATCATTATAATAATAATAATAAGTTAGCATTTTCAAATGCATCAGTATTCTTGAGAAATAGACCAATTTTTTTAGCATTGGATGAAATTTCATTTAGAAAACCTGTACCAATTGGCTCAGTTTTAAGCTTGTCATCTCAAATTGTGTATTCACCTGGTACACCACATCAAAGTTTTCAAGTTGCAGTAAGTTTTTTATATTTAATAATAATTAATAACGATGGTGATGATGATAATAACAGCATCAAAAAACAATAATGATACTTTATAATAATAATATGCATTCTTTTTTACATTCATATTGGGGGTTTTTCTTTTATAGGTTATAGCAGATGTTTTAGATATTGAAAAAGAAAAAAGAGACACAACAAATATATTTCATTTTACTTTTACATCATATAATATTATTAATGTTAGAAGAGTTATACCAAATACATATGGGGACTTGATGAAATTTCTTGAAGGTAAAAGAAGAAGAGAGATTGGATTGAAATTAAAAAGTTTATATAAATAAATAATAATAATAGCAGCCATTTTCATAAATTAAATTATTGTATTATTAAAAAAAATAAAATATTGGGTAAACAATTTTTGGTGTAAGAACAACGTTGTTTCTAAATTTTTGTTCTAATCTAAAATTAATCCATTTTACTGAGATTTTCTTTAGCCTATCTAGAGATGATAAAACATTACTAAAAAATTTTTTTTGACAATGATATCGATATTTTCTTTTGTCGTATTGCCCTATCCAAACAATTAATTATTATTTTGAAAAAAAAAAAAAGAAATGTTATTATAATAATAATAGATATTGAAATAATAAATAAATTCTATAACTTTAATTTACATTTAATAATATACAGTATTTAAAAATATCCGATCTTCTATTAAAAAAAATCATCACAGTAATTTAGAATAACTTGATGGTGCATATCTTTTCCTCAAAAATTTGACTATATATAATGGAATACTGCTAACAGCGGTTATTACAGCAACCTTCCACACAAATGTTATAGTTAAGATAAAATATAAATCTTTATAAAATAAAAATAATATATATAAAAATAATTAATACAAAAGGCTTTATAAATCGAAAGTCAAATTGAAAAAAAAAATACTGACCAAAGTAGGTAGGCAGAAATATCATTGAAACAATGTAAATGATCAATGTAATTATTTCTGATATAATCATAAGTTTATGCCTTTTTTTCAAATCATAATTGAATTGGTTAATAATTCATTGTTAATTAATATAATTTTTTAAATATTAAAATAATCAGTCGAACTGCATTACCATGTATTGATCTCCAAAGCAACCATCAAAAGTTCATTAATAATTAACGCAGTGAAAGAAATCGAGACAATATTGACAAATTCGTCTTCAAAAAGAAATATAGACATAATCATTATAGCGCCACCTATAAATTTTATTTGATAAGAACATACATATAGAATTTAAATGAGCATTGAAAATTTTAAAAAAAGAAAAACATGTATGTGCGCGTACAATGATACCTTGATATACACTGATCATTAACCATTGAAAGAAGGTCTTTAAAGAAAGTGATCTTCCCTATAGCAACCACAAAGAACAATTTATAAAAATATTAATTTCATACAAGAGTAATTAATATTAATAATAAATTTGTAACTACCTTTGTTAAATCTTTATATAATTCCGGAAATTGTAATGCTATGTCTTCACTTACATCCATATCCAATACTAATGAAAATACCGGCGCCATTGTATAAAGGGTAGAATATCCTACCATCAATACACCCTACAGGAATTTTTTAAAAAAAATTAAAAAAATATATTCTATGCTGTAACGCTAAAGGGTTACAGATACTTACTTGATATAGAGCAATTGGTGCATAGTAAAATATAGAAGAAAATACTGCTTGCATAACCGATATTATAAGACCACGATGGATAACGAATTGAGAAAGCTTCGCAGAACGTTTATAACTATTTCTTCCGTGCCAAACTATAAAGAATGAAGTTTTTTTGAAAAAAATATTCCAAGTAATTAAAACAATATCTTACAATTTTTTACTTACGTAGTAATTTTGTCAAATAGCTAAATTGAGTAATTGAAAAATCAGCTGCTAAAGAAGCTTGCCTTCCTTCTTTTCCAACAATACCGACACCTGAAAACAATTTAATGGATGATAAATTATTAAAAATATTAAATATTCTTTAAACTGAAATTAAAAGAAAAAAAAACATAACATACCAACATCGGCTGCTTGAATCATACTAACATCATTACCACCATCGCCAATACAACAAACTTTTTTATTAGTAAAATTTTTAATGAGTCTCGTAATGTCAGCCTATTGATCAATAGATAATAAATAATATAATGAGCACTCAAAGTATGCGTGATTGATTCAATAAATTTAACTTGAAATATTGTTAACCTTTTGAGTAGGCGAACATCTACAAGCAACTACAACTGGCAATCTGATTGCTAATTCAATAAATTCATTCTTGTAATGATCAATATAAAGCTGAAATTTTTTTTCAAAAGAGAGAATATTAAAATATTTAATATGATGAATTTTATAAAACAATAAAGATAATTTAAAACAATTAAAGTCACCTGAAGTGATTCTCCATCAATTACCAAACAACAATCACCTGTACTTTGTAAATGGTCCAATTCTTCTAATGCCTCATCTGAAGATTGCACTAGTTAAAAAAGCAAAACTGAAACTAAATATCTTGATTGAGCAATTAATAATTGAGTTACATGAAATTAAAAAAAAACTCTTATCACTTTTTGCTATTTTATGGATAGTCTGATTTCTTGAAATCAATTTTGAGGATATTGCTACGCAAGTTGCTGTCTCAATTTTATCTCCTATAATAATAATATATATATAAAGTTATAATAACAAATCAAATTAATGAAAATTTATAATCATTAGATTTTATATGAGAGTATTCAAAACAAATTATTAACCTGTTAACATCCATATTTTAAGACCTGCATTTCGAAGTAGCTCCAACGTAGTTTTAACACCATCTTGAAGTTTATCTTCAACACCAGTCAACCCCAAAAGTTCCAAATCTTGTTCTAGTATCGATGAAATAATCTCTCCTTCTCGAGCTTTACGATTGGTTAAACTTGTCCTAGCTTCATGAAACCTATTTCAATAATAAAAATTAATCAATTGTATATGTTTTACAAATGGAAAAAATTTTTAATGACAATAATAATACCTTTCTTGAAAATCATTATAGGCAACATCTGATAACCTTTTACGAGCAATAACTAAGGTTCTAAGACCTTCTCTTGCAAAGTTTCCACATTCTTCATCCAACCAATCGTTATATTGAACAATTCTGCCCATGACTACATCTGCACCTTTTTCATAAAATGTAATTTCTTCAGTTTGTTTATCTTGGACAATAATTCCCATCCGCTTGCTTTCACTAGTGAATGGAAATATTTGAAGAATTTTGAATTCGAGAATGTTTCCATGAGGTGTACGAAGATGCATTTCATTAATGTCACGAAAAACCAAAGTTAAACCGACGCTTTCAGTCCATTTAACAATTGCAACTTCGTCAGGTGACGAAGCCTGATAAGTAACTAAATTATCAACATCAATTACAGGCGTGACCTTTTCAAATCAAAATATATATACATATATTAATACGATTTTCAAATGAAAATTAAATCAATAAAAGGATTTTCTTTTATTACGTTATGACATAAAGCAAGTGCAAGGATAATATCTCTAATTCTTGATGTCATATCTCTTCGACCTTTTCCAACTAAAGATGGTGTTTGAAGAGATGTTGAAGCACGAGTTGTATCTATTTAATAGATATGATATTATTTTTATGCAAAATTGAATGGAACCATTTATTGTCACAAAAAAATTTTTTTTTATATATGCCTGGTTGTCCAAATGCAATTTCCAATTGTGAAGATATTTCATCCATTGTATCTGAACTATAGGACATAGTTCCCATATGAAGTTTTTTTAATTCCATATCTATTAATAACATTAATCAATATTAATTGTAGTTAAATTTTGATCATTATGAAAAAAATCATTTTAAATACCATTTTTGGTCAAGGTTCCAGTTTTATCTGATAACAGATAATTAATTCTGCCCAGTTCTTCTGGTATTGTACTAGTTCTGACTATTGTATATGGAATTTCATTATCATGCATTATTTGATATGCGTAAACACTTTTACCCATGTCTAAATTGACACGAAGACTTGAAATAATAAAAATGACATTAGACCACAAAAGAAAAAAAAAATTTTTTTTGAATAATTAAATAAAAGAACTCACCCTATAGGAATGATTGAAGAAAAAAGAATCAAAAATCGACATAAATAAATATACCAAAGACCTCGAAAATTGTTTAATGCAATAAGCGTAAAAGACAACAACAGTGTCACAAGGAAAAGAATCTATAAATTTTAATTTGAATTAATTGTGAATGACTTTGATCCAACTATTCTATTTTCTACACAAAATCAAATTTTTTGATTATTATTATTAACCTTGGATAATCGATTAATTTCTTTATCTAATAATCCAATTTTAGTTTCTGGGTGACTTGTGTTCATGACAGCTCTAGTATCCTTTCCCGTGTATATTACAAATCCAATAGCAGTACCCGATGCCAACACCGTATTCATCCATAAAGTGTTCTCAACATTTAAAGCTTCAACTTGTGGTGTCTAACTTTATCATATTTTATGATTAATTAAAATAAAATTTAATTGAAAATATTTTGATAACCTTTTTTGAATGATAAACATACCATATTATCCATAGCTTGCTTTGAAAAATTACCAACAAAACTATGAATATCTTGTTGAGGAATATCAGCTAAAATACAAACAACAATAATTTTTTTAATAAAATAATAATATCAAATGCTATTTCTAAAAATTATGTTTAAGCCTTACCATAAATATCAGCATTGACTTCTAAAAGATTATCATTTGATTGTAATTTTTGACAGAAAGGTACTGCAACTCTTAAATCAATAATAATAATAATAATAATATAAATAACAATAGATTATAAATATCTATTATATTGATATTTATTTGAAAATAAAAAAAATCCACTACCGTGGATATTGTAATACCTTAATTTCCAATCAGTTTCACCATCTAATTGGTCTGTTCTAATAAAACATGCGCCACTAGTCTCTGTTGTTCTTAATAATATTAAATCAGCAGGGACCTAAAATTAAATAACTCTAGTTTCAAACACTCAACAATACAATAAAAAATAATAATTGTATTTGAGATTACCCTTTGATCCTTATGAATAATGACCAAGTCACCAACTCTTATCTTGGAACTTGGTACTATTTTAATACCATTTTGCGTTAATATTTCATATTTTTGAGAATTGTTTTCACGATCTCTTCTATATCTTATCCAATCATCATATGCTTCTTTGCCCATAGTGACCAAAATTACAAAACACAAAGGGCCAAAATATGTGATAAGATATCCTGTAATTATAGTTTTATGTCAATTATTATTAGTCATCATTCATATATTGATTGCGTGTTTGAAAAAAAGATTTTACCTGTTCTCAAAGAAGGAATAAATTGAGATAATGCCACAAGAAGAAAATAAAGATTTATAAAAACATGGAACTATTTCATTACAAATTTAATAAATATGTGTTAATTTTTTGAAAATGATTGGTTTTTTTTAAAAAAAAAATATCTTTGATTTTTGGAAGGATAAATACTTGTTGATAAAAAACTAGCGGAAAAAACGTAATAAGATTATATTTTTGATTACGAATAACATTCGGAGGATATTTATTTTTTACTTTATCTTTTTAGAAATATTAGAATAAAAAGATTTGAAAAAGATTAGAATCAATCAAAAGAAAATTAAAAAGAAACAAAAGAGAGTATAGAAAAACAAATACCAGAAGCATGAAAAGGGATTGTTCGTGATTTTTGTGTGTTTCTGCCTCCAATGAGAGAATAAGAATTATTTCCTGACGAACCATGTCGTCTACTATTTCTTGAAGAAAGTAACGAGGGGGAATCCTAGGAATGTATATTCATATATAATAATATAAGTAAAGGTACATATCTTTCTTATAATTTCTTCTTATTTTGCATTAATTCCGTTAAAAATTTAAGGGATCTATATACATATATAGGATAATTAAGAGTCACAGTAGACTTTACTATTAAATGTAGCTATAAAAGCCTTGATGATAAATATACACTTTGGCTAACTCACTTCATTTTCAATAAGAGGGGTTTCATCCTCAATATCTAAGCTATTCTGTTTTGTACTATTATTATCTGAATAAGATAATATGGGTTTCAAAGCGATAGAAGAGTCTCTCACCATGTTTTCGTCATACATGATGTAAAAACCGGAATTAAAAGATTAAACTGATTCTTTGGTGAAATAATTTAATTGATTTGAATTTTTTTTATAAAACGAAGCCACCGTAAGCCACAAAATTTTATTTGTAAGACTAATGAATGGGAATAATGAATGCCAAGCTATTAAACAAATTTATATTAATAAATATTAATCACGCACGGATTTGTATATTAATATAATAGCAGGGTTTGGTCAGGACCCCGGATTATTATAATTGAGGTAAGATCCGATTTTGACTTTTAGTAAGTGGTATGACTATTTTAGGTATAACAGAAAATTTTTATTATAAGTCCAATTTTATGTCATATGAAATTATGGGTAAATAGAAAAATGGATCAATATTTATATAGAAAGTTTTGTGTTCTTTTCCATTTTAAGTAAATTCTCTAATGGCTGGCTATTACTACGGTGCAGATCTATAATCAATTAATTACTAAAACAAAAAATTTTATACCCATTTAAAAAGTTAACCGATAACTTTTATTGCTAACTTATCGGCTAGTTTTTCTTAAAGTGAAAATTGCAAAGCATTAGCATTTTGAAAATTCCCAGATTTTGTTCAGGGCTGGCCGCATAACCTAAATGAGAATTTGGCCACAGAATTATGTAAAGCCAATTTAGTCAAGACTATTATTACCAAATTAGGACTTTAGCCTCTTTACGCAGCCAGCCCTGATTTCTAACAAAATTTTCAGTATTTATTTCCTAAAAAAGTTTAACGCCAAAAAATCTTACCAAATTTGGTCGTGTAATTCAAATTATCGTAACACGAAAATTATTATTGTATTTCTGAGCATAACTCTCGAATTTAATATTAAGAAAAGAAATTTGAGACAAATTTTTTTTAGATGAATTGGCCCCCTTTTTAAAAGCTGAATTGAATGGTGGTGGTTTTTTTAAAATCTAATATGTGGATATGTGGATCACACATAATATTCAAATTTTTTAACTTTTGAGTATAGATGATCCGATCCGTATTGTAATGCTAAATTAGGACCGGAAAAACTATATCGAATGTCACCCACCACCAATACTACGATTTGAAAATATTTTTTAAAAAAGGAAAGGAGACCGCGACATTATAATTCGGGTCAATAGAGAATTAAAATTTAAATCCAGATAAGGAAAAAACCCGCCATAGAAGTTACATACTAACTGCCCATTTTTAGTTAATTATCCCCTAAACAGAAAAAATCGACCAATCAACTTTCGAGATTCGCGTTAACGTTTAATTTGACGGTGATATTCAATACTATTGTTATCATCTCGCCTTTAATGGTTCAAATAAGGTTTATTCAAATTATCTGTTTTATTTGAAATTGAGTGCGGGCGCGCGTGTTACATTAAAGGTAGCCAATAAATAATCTATTAGCAGGATTTGTAAAGAAAATTCATTGAAAAAAAAATATATACATATATTAATTAATATTTAATTTATTATTATTAACAAACATACTTTTATTGACGTTTTCAGGTATAATTCAATTTTTATTGATACAAAAATAAACAAAACATCTTTTATTTCAATCAAAAATTTTTTTGACGATGATCAACAAAATGTGCGATTTTTTATGTATATCAACCAAGTATCTATGGCATTGAATCCTATACTAAAATTCCAGATGCAAAAATGAATGTTAAGAGAACTTTTTTTTTAGCTGGCTAAACCATTTAAAATTCCTTAGCCAGTTAAGCTGATAAATTTCTTAGCCGGCTAACATCATTACCTATAACCTCGATTATAATTGTCCAGGGTCCTAATGAACTATAACTCAATAATTTAAGCATAATTTTCCATTACTAGTATTTGTCTCAGGGCAAGTCATGCAATGGCAAACCCGTGCGACCCACTTAAATGTGGCATTAGGAAGCCCAGTAACTAAAGGAAATGGGCTGTTTCTGGTGGCTCATGTTGGGTGTTGACCCTTCATGACATGGCCTCTTCAATCGTTGCATAAATAATTCACGTAAAAATATTACAAAGTCACGTCATGTTCAAGTTGTATCTATTATTCGCATATGCACACACAAATTAATTTCGGCCCGTAATAGTTGTGTTTATTTCATATCGCGTAAAACACGAAATGTCGCATCGTGTTAAAGCCGATGCTTATTATAAATAAAAGTTCAAATTAAGAAGTAAACATTATTAAGAATTTTGTATAATAATAACATATAACTAATAAATATTGTAATTTTGTAAAAGAGCAGAATATCCAAAATGGAATTAAAAAGGCAGTTTTTATTTTCTCAAGTGAAGAAAACCCATGTAACTTGGAGTTTTTATATGATCGAAGGAAGTTGAATTTTGCGTTTATTAGAAAAAAATAAAGTTGCGCATAGAATTTTTAAAAAAAAAAAATAATCTATATAATTTCTATTTATTCAATATGTTCAATATTATCATACAATTAATTATTAATGACTATGATTAAAAAATAGATAAAAAACTATAAAAATTTTTGTAAAATTTTTGTGAATATAAATATAGCAATAAAACCCGTTAATTTGAATTGAAGATTTGTTGTCGAATCATTAGCATTACTAGTAAAACTGACTGTAGGGGTGCTACTGGCGGCACTACTAGTTGTTGTTGATGATGATGATGTGGTATTTGTAGTGGAGACGTCGGGAATTTGACTTACATCTTTATAAGCACAAGAAGCTGAGTTGCATAAACACATATTTGCAATTGGGTCCCACCAAACAGTATCACAAGTGGTTGGAACTCTGAAACGTAGATTGGTTGTTGAATCAGGCACAGGGTTATCCAATGATGGTAACGTTTTTGGACATCCATAACAAGTATTAAACACTTCAGTGTTAAAATTACAATTCAATGTTAACCCTTCATCTATCTGTTTATCGCCATTATCATCCATTCCATTACAAATCTCTTTGCCGACAGTCGCTTGTTTACACTGGAATGCTGTATAAGTTTTGAGTTGATCGGCTGGTACAGGGTTTTTCATATACTCTATCAATTGTTGATTGGTGACGAACCAAACGTCTGGTTGTTTGATTGCCCAATCTAAAAAGTCCTTCATTATGTTTAATGTTGGGGTTGGATCTGGTACGCCTGGTGCTATAGTTTCTACTGAATATTGAACAGGGTGAAGATAAAGACCTATTCATTTGTTTCACACAAAATAAAGTTTATAATTGTTATTACTTATTTTTACTTATTATTATTTATTATTGTTGTTGTTGTTATATTACTACTGCTTACCAAAAGGTACTTTTCCATTTTTTGTATGTCTGACAAAATTATCTTGTAACAATTTCAATTTATCTCCAGGATAGGTAAGTAAAGGATCCATTAAATATGGGGTATTTTTATCATCTATAATAATTCATTCACAATAATCAATTGTTATTAGCAAAATTTTCACAAATTAACAACCTGACAAAAAATAATAATATGATTAATTGATACCCACCAAGGATTGCAGCCATAGGAACTTCAAATAGACCAGGATGTTTCACTTGATCACAGAAACCTTTGTAACAATCACTGTACAAACCATTATCTAAAGTATAAGGCCATGAATCATCTGTACCTATTGAGGTAGCTGAAGTGTCATAAACGAACTTTTGATCAGCGAGAATTTGATAAATATTTGGGTTAGTGTCAAGAAAGGGTGTACGGAATCCTGTAATCTCTCCAAATGGAATGCCGGCAAATGCATTTAATGCCTTTCTGTTTCCAACAATTTCATCTTTGATATATATATATATATATATATATACATATGTAATTAAAGGAAATATTAATCAATATAAATTATCTAATGATTCAAATAAATTTATAAATATTATTAATATAATCACCTAGAGGTCTAGGTAACCCGGCTGAATGAGTCATTGTATGATCAGCAACCTATAAGAAAATATTGTTTTTAGTTTTTTCGTAATAAATTTAAAGATTGTGGTGGTGGAAGATTTGATTTTTACCTCATGTCCTTTAGCATACCATTGAGTCACTAATGAATAATCAGTATAGTTTAAACTGACGTAATATGTTGTTCCGATTGGACATCTATTATTATACGTATATATAAAACATAGAAATTAGAAAAATAGTTGATTGATCGCTTTAACAAAAAATGATTGAATCATTATAAAATTACCCATTAGGATTTCTACGATTTCCAAGAAGGTCATTGACAACTGCGAAAAAAAAATTTTCTTAAATTAAAAATTCTGCGAAAAATATATACAAGTGTGTGTATGTTGTATGGATGGTTAAATGTTACCTTTTAGTGTACGGTCTTGAACAGAGTCATCTATTGGAAGAGAGGATATATATCAATTCATTAGTGTATGTGTATATATATATATATATATATTGAAAATTCACTTTAAAAAATATTTACCGAAAGTTAAAAGAACAAATTGTGGTGCCTTTTCCACAGGAATTCCTCCTGGTGGGTTCGTTGTCGCACATATGCACGTGGGTGCTTTACATATAGCAGGATCACAGGCGTAGGCGGCATCAACAGTTGTAATAATAAATATTGAATATATTAACGTGAAAAAAATTAAAATCAATGAAGAAGTTTTATTATAATTATACAGCGACATTATAATAAATGTATACGTGTTCAAATGTTGAAATTTTAATTAATGAGAAAAAATAAATAAAAAAAAAATAAAAGATCAATTTGATATATATATACACAAAAATCTTGGTATTTTACGTCTATGTATTAAAATGCACATCTCTAAATTTGTTTTTTTCTAAAAATATAAAAATACATTTGTCTAACCAGTTTTTAATTTGTTTATTTTTGTAAACGCAATGAACGACTATATATATATAGGACCCCGAAAACTATATTACCAATCTTTATTATCACAGTGTTATACCAAACCGTTACTTTTACTGAATTTTTCGGGGCCCTTGATCGCTCTTTCATATACAAACGAACTCCTTCTTCACCTCTCAATCTTTGTGAATT